TGTATAAAGTCATTTGCGTCGCGTGCAAGATAGGGACCTTAACTTAAATTTACAGTAAAAAAATTTCATTGTCTGATTTAATAGTAATTTACTGACTTTTTGAATTACTAATTTTTGTTTGGTACTATTGTAATTACACTGACAACCACCAATCACAGAGTCACATGATGCATCAAAGCTCATCACAAGCTGCTTTTCCGCAAGAAAGTTATACACAGTGTCCTTCACACAAACACTAAAAGTCGTCATGGTAACACACATAAAACTTTTAAAAATGCATTAAACATTAATCGAACAAGATTAAATATTAAAAAGATTCACATGTACATACTTAATTAGAAACTCTGAAGACAGTTATTTTCAACAAAAATACATCAAATGTGAAGTGTCGTGCAGGGAATTCGTAGGAATGTCAATTTCGTTTTTTTTTTACTGTAAATTATACTTTTTCACTTCCAAAAACGGTCAATTTTACTGTAAAATTACATTAAATCACAGCTATTCACCGTACGGAAACTGTTAACGAATTAACAGTTTTTCACTGTTGCATTTTTACAGTATTTTTACCGTTAAAATCACGATAATTGTTTACAATGCAGATCACTGTAGTAGAAGGGTTGCAATGTTGCTCTTCACATGTGAGAGTGTTGTGTTTTATAGGTGGCAGGGTTGTTTCGGGATCCCAGCATCGGAAATGCCATCAACATTGCAGTCGTGCGTCTCATTCTGCTGGAAAAGGACGAGGTAAGCGAGATGACAAAGCAAACCCTTGCTCTAAAAATACATGCAGTCGTTCTGAATCATCTAAGGCACACGCACACATGGTTTTAGGAGGGACGACTGCGTTTAAATGCAGGAGTGAGTCACCTAAATAATTGTTTAAAATATTATTATTATTATGATAATGACAGGAGTCACTAGAGCCAGACCGATATATCGGCAGGCCGATATTATCGGCCGATATTAGGCATTTTCCAAACTATCGGTATCGGCAGTTATAATGGCCGATAAATGAATATTTCAACATTAAAATAAAAATGGATGAAACACGCTTGAAACATGTCATGAGTGTTGGAGTTGTATAGTTTGTCCACCAGAGGGCAATGTTCTGTTGCCACAATAAAAGAAAAAAGTTTCTTTTTAAATTGCATTTTCTTATTATTTTAGTTAAAACGTATACTTAACTACAAATAACTAATGTTAGGGAAATCTGTTTAATGTTTTGTTGCGCATTTCTGAAAAAAAAATAAAATAAAAGAAATATCGGCCGATATATCGGAATATCGGATTTTAAAACCAACAATTATTAGTATCGGTATCGGCCTTCAAAATCCTTTATCGGTCGGGCTCTAGGAGTCACTCATGTAATGTGTTTATTGACATGTACAGCCATAGAAAGGTTTTTGATTTAAGGCTGCAAACAAGAAACATTGTTTCACAATTTTTTCTGCCCAATGTAATATTAATATTAACCCGTCTGTTGAGAGAAACTACAGTGAACAAAGCAGGTTTGCTTGCTCCACATCTGGAGAACAGAGACACACATCTCTGATGAGATTTTAAATGCTTCATCTAGTTGTTCAGACTACGTACACACTATGCATGGTTGGGGTCATTCTCCTAGACGTGTGCATTAAAGATGTAGATGTTGTTTGCATAGAGCACATCAAATATGGTCAACAGAAGCACACCTTGACATGTGAGACGAACTTCACTGGTTCTTATGGAATAGCATTAGTGTCTCTTCAGAAGACTTCAAACTATGGTTTCGGCAAACATCGAGTCTTTGATCTATGTTGGTAATTGCAAATAGTTGGCTAACGATGCTTTTAGCAAATGCACTCCAGATTGGTTTTAAATGCCATGAGCTCAAATATGCCCTCTTCAAATGAACACACGAGAATCAATTTATAAATTAGCATAGGCTGTGAATGCCATAAACATAGAGAGCTTTTCCTTTAAATTAAGCTTTTTAAGGTTTCCATTTAAAGGGATAGTCCACTTTTTTTTGGAAATAGGCTCATTTTACCACTCCTCCAGAGTTAAACAGCTGAGTTTTACTGTTTTCGAATCCATTCAGACGATTTTCTGATATTTAGAAGAATATCAGTGAACAGACAGTTTCTGGTCTCATTGACTTCCATAGTATATTTTTTTCCTACTATGGAAGTCAATGAGACCAGAAACTATCTGGTAAGTGATATTCTTCTAAATATCAAAAAATCGGCTCAATGGATTTGAAAACGGTAAACCTCAGCTGTTTAACTCTGGGGGAGTGGTAAAATGAGCCTATTTCCAAAAAAAAAAAAAAGTGGAATATCCCTTTAATTTTATTTTATATGCATTGTGTTAACTTCCATTTTCACCTTCAAACTCTCATTCTACAATATGATATCTTTAATAAAAGCTGCAAATAAACCCATTTTCTAATTGCTTTTACACAAATCCATGCAACTGTATTCCTTATTTAAACTCATACTTACACACTGTACATAGATGTAAATACAATGAATACTATCATGTATTATCAGGAGGATTTGAAGATCAGCCATCATGCCGACCACAGCCTGAACAGCTTCTGTAAGTGGCAGAAAGGCATTAACATGAAGGACGACGACCATCCGGTCCATCATGACGTGGCTGTCCTGATCACAAGGTACATCTGGCCTAACTCTAATCAGCTTTACATTGCTTTACATACACAGTATAATGCATCTTTGTCTGTGACGCAGGAAAGACATTTGTGCCGCCATCAATAAGCCCTGTGAGACGTTGGGTCTGTCTCATGTGGCTGGGATGTGTCAGCCTCACCGCAGCTGCAGTATTAATGAAGACACTGGCCTTCCTCTGGCGTTCACGGTTGCACATGAGCTCGGACACAAGTAAGTGCTGGAACACACATTATCTGTCAATCGGTTAATCTAAGAGTGATCTAAAGGAGTAGTTCACTTTAAAAAAAAAAAAAAAAACGTTTGCTGATAATTTACTCACCCCCATGTCATCGAAGATGTCCGTGTCTTTCTTTCTTCAGTCGAAAAGAAATTAAGGTTTTTGATGAAAACGTTCCAGGATTTTTCTCCATATAATGGACTTCAATGGGAACCAAACGGTGCAAACCGTTGAAAGGGCTTTAAACGATTCCAGGCGATGAATAAGGGTCTTATCAAGCGAAACGATCGCTCATTTCAAAAATAAATGAAAAAGTTTAAGTTTTATAAGCTCAAATGCTCGCCTGTGATGAGCGTTCGTAACTCTCCTGTTCAAAATGAACGAATCTTTTTTTCGAGTCATTTTGTTCGTTGAATCAACCAAGTGACTCAAAAAAAGATTTGTTCGTTTTATTTTGAACAGGAGAGGATGTGTGCTTATAAAATGTAAACTTTTGCATTTATTGTTGAAATGAGCGATGGTTTCGCTTGATAAGACCCTTATTCATCGTCTGGTGTCGTTTAAAGCCCTTTGAACAGTTTGCACTGAAACTCTCATTTGGACCTTGAACTGTTTGGACCCCATTGAAGTCCATTATATGGAGAAAATCCTGGAATGTTTTCATCAAAAACCTTAATTTCTTTTCGACTGAAGAAATAGAGACGTGGACATCTTGGATGACATGGGGGTGAGTAAATTATCAGCAAAAGTTTTTTTAAAGCTGAACTATAATTAAGTGCTGTAATCGGTGCAGCTACTAACACAGAAAACAAGAAAAGTGACAAACTAGCTCTGTTTCTGTTAGCCTTTCACTGTAAGCATGTTAATTTCTGATTATTATCAACGTTGAAAATTTGGTCAAGATTTTGTAGAAACCGTGTTCAGAGTTCTTTAATGAATAGAAAGCCTAAAAGAACGGCATTTATTGGAAATTAAAAGTCTTTACTGTCATTTTTATCAGTTTAATGCATCGTTTCTGAATAAAAGTAAAAAAAAAAAAAATAAAACGCAATGGCAATCAAATCTCTTCTTATTCATATTAACATTGAAGTGCTACCTATTATATTACAATATTGTTTTGCTATTGTACCTGCGTTTGTTTCCGTCGAAATTGCAGATGGTGATAATAGACAAGAAATGTATTTCGATGGAGTTTCTTTAGACATTTAGAAATCCTGCAGCCTGAACTACTGTAGGGAAACCGCACACACACACACACACACACACACACACACACACACACACACACTCCTGTTTCGAAAGCAATACAGTCTCACTAAAACTAGACAGTGTTGCATATGTAAATTGCTCATTTTGCGTGTCTCCGAAAGCCAAGGTGTCCTTGATGAAACATGCATTAGTTCTGTGGCTTTAATAGTCCAGTAACACACACTTTACTGCAGGCAGTGTACGGCTGAATATTCACTCGCTATATTCCTATACGAGAGACCAATTTCTTTCTGGTACCAATTACAGTTGCTGAATTTGAGCCAGCATGTCATTCAGATGTGTTTGATTTATTGTGTATCTTTCCCTTCAAGATTACATGAAATAGTTTTTAAGAGGTCAGTGTTTGTGCCAGACCATTATGTAAATGATGGCGGCCAGAAAATGACTTCTGAAGCCCAATGGATGGGATTTCTTTTGTTGTTTTCTCTTAAGAACGTGCTGTTAAATGGCATATTTGAGACTTGTGCTTCGACTTAGAGCTCATTTGATCTCGTGCCGTTTGTTCTGCGCACATGCCTTTTGAAAATGTTTGTGGTCACACACCACATAGAGATATAAACAATGATTTCATGATAAACAGTGAAGCACAGCAGGACTCAGTAACTGTGTTTCTAGACTACTATTGCAGTCTGTGTAATATACACTCTTAGAAGAAATGGTTCTATTTAGAACCAGAAATGGTTCCATACCCCGCTTAATATATGGAACTCCAAAATGGTTCTATATAGAACCATTTTTTTGTAAAAGGTTCTATTGGCCAAGTGTGGAACCCCGGGGTTCTATATAGAACCATTTTTTTGGTAAAAGGTTCTATTGGCCAAGTATAGAACCTCAGGGTTCTATATAGAACCATTTTTTTGGTAAAAGGTTCTATTGGCCAAGTATGGAACCCCAGGGTTCTATATAGAACCATTTTTTTTGGTAAAAGGTTCTATTGGCTAAGTATGGAACCCCAGGGTTCTATATTGAACCATTGTTTTTGGTAAAAGGATCTATTGGCCAAGTATGGAACCCCAGGGTACTATATAGAACCAATTATTTGGTAAAATGTTCTATTGGCCAAGTATGGAACCCCAGGGTTCTATATAGAACCATTTTTTTTGGTAAAAGGTTCTTTCGGCCAAGTATGGAACCCCAGGGTTCTATATAGAACCATTTTTTTGGTAAAAGGTTCTATTGGCCAAGTATGGAACCCCAGGGTTCTATATTGAACCATTTTTTTGGTAAAAGGTTCTATTGGCCAAGTATGGAACCCCAGGGTTCTATATTGAACCATTTTTTTTGGTAAAAGGTTCTATTGGCCAAGTATGGAACCCCAGGGTTCTATATAGAACCATTTTTTTGGTAAAAGGTTCTATTGGCCAAGTATGGAACCCCAGGGTTCTATATCGAACCATTTTTTTTGGTAAAAGGTTCTATTGGCCAAGTATGGAACCCCAGGGTACTATATAGAACCATTTTTTGGTAAAATGTTCTATTGGCCAAGTATGGAACCCCAGGGTTCTATATAGAACCATTTTTTTGGTAAAAGGTTCTATTGGCTAAGTATGGAACCCCAGGGTTCTATATCGAACCATTTTTTTGGTAAAAGGTTCTATTGGCCAAGTATGGAACCCCAGGGTACTATATAGAACCATTTTTTGGGTAAAATGTTCTATTGGCCAAGTATGGAACCCCAGGGTTCTATATAGAACCCAGAGGAACCCTTTTTTAAGAGTGTATAGAACCTTTTAGGGGTTCCAAATACGTAGCACTGATAGAAGCTTTTAAGGTTCTATATAGAACCTTTTCTTCTAAGAGTGTATGGGAAAATGTGAATTTAATCAATGTACAGTTCATGCTCAAAATGCTCAAAATGCAATGAAATGCTCAAAACAAGCTTTAGCAACAGCATCTGTAACATTATTCACAGAAAATTATTTTCTTCGCATGCCCTCTGCATTTGTTTGAATAGTAATGCACTTATAATGCAATTCTATGTCTGGAGAACTCATGTCTGGAGAACCGGAATGTCCGGAGGGGGTATTTGTTTATAATGACCCTACAAGTTCGATTAAACCATCACAACTTTAAATATGAAGCAAGAACAATACTGTAAGCTTAGCACAGAAACAAAAAAAGCTCAAAGGAACATCGAAATCTGTTGTAAAGCCAATCCATCTGTTCTCTCGCCTCTCACTGTCCGATCTGCTCTCACGCCACAGCTTTGGGATTCAGCACGACGGGAACGGCAACGACTGCGAGCCCATCGGGAAAAGGCCTTTCGTCATGTCTCCACAGCTCCTGTACGGCACCTCTCCGCCAAACTGGTCTCGCTGCAGTCGTCAGTACATCACACGCTTCCTCGAGTAAGTCAACAACCATGCCTCTCCTTTTTTTAACACAGCTTTTCTTACAGATATGAAAACCTTTTCACAATATTCTCATTTTGAATTTGGTGTTTTTATAAGCCGTAAGCCATAATAACCAAAATTATAACAAATAAAGGCTTGAAATATCTCACTTTGCATAATATATTAGTTTCACCTTTTAAGTTTAATTACTGAAATAAATGAACTTTTGCAATTTGCACCATATTCTCATTTTTCGAGTTTCACCTGTACTGTTAAAAAAAAATGACAGAAAAATATTGTAAAAAGTTACAGTGAAAACATGTTAATTGGTTAACTTTGTTACCTTACCATATGGTGAAAACCTGTAAATGGTTTAACAGTCAAATTTTGTCAAATGTATGGTATTTGAAATTTAATTTACTGTAAAAACATTCCCCGCATTACAAATCACACATGATTGCATGTTTTATAATGTACATTAGTGTTTTTTTTTTGTTACATTTGATGATATTTAGTGCATTTTTTTAGTGTCAAGAGTGTGTAAACATCTATATATGCGTATTGACTGTGTTTTATGAACAAGTCAATGCATTATTGTGGTACATTTTATTATTCGCTATGTTTTTAAAATGGATTTGGTAGTTAAAGTAGGCATATGAACATTACACCACTTAATGAATTATATGGTTATAAGTTGTGAAATATAAATGCATCTTGTAAAAAATAGAAACATTGTCACAGTATTTTTTTTATTATTAATATGGAGAGAAGAAGGGACATGAAAGCATTCCTCCAAGTTGTGTAATGAATAACTATTGCATAAAATGGACAGATGGCACAAATTGGAGTAATCGTTGTACCCTTTGATTTTTATACTTAATGGAGTTCATTGGAACGGCTTTATCAGTCTTTTACCCCCTTAACAAGCTGGCTCTGTCCTTCTTGACCTTTGCATGCATGCATGTGTGTGAATGGATGAGATTTCCCAAGAAGAAGGAGTCCGGCTGTGTTGATTCTTCTGTCTTCGTAACACTAGTTGTGTTGCCTGCCATATGGAGGACATTAGACAAGGCTTGCCTACTGCAACTTGGCCTGAAATGAGGGGAAATGTTTAACACATCTGCCAGTGCCCAAACACAGGATATGTTACAATATCTAGGCCAAACGGATACATCAGCAAATGAGAAATTAGGTTATCTTAATGCCTTTAAGTTTTGATTGCTCAGGCCTACCATTATATTAGTCGATCTGTGTGTTACTGTTACACTCTGATGAGAGCCGTTAGATCATTGTTTGGATATCTACAGTGGCACAAGATGTAAAAAAGACTTTATTTCATCTTTCTAAGACATATTATTACCAGATATAGAGTAACAATTGATGTTTAAATGCACATTAGTCTGATTTACATTGCAAGTTATCATCATTTCTGGGCATATACTGTAAATAACAACAACTGTGCCAAATTGTGTTATTTATGTGAGCTCCATATTCTCAATATTTCATACGCGACTGAAAAAAAAAGAGTTAATGGACACTTACAGTTTTTCTTTATTGTTTACTGTAAAAAAATCCTGTAAAAAGCGGTAAATATAATTTTTTTCCTGGGGATATACTATAAATAGCAACAACTTTTTCAAATTGTGTTATTTATGTGAGCTACATATTCTTAATATTTCATTTATGTCAGAAAAAAAGTTTTTACAGTTTTTCTTGATTGTTTACTGTAAAAAAAATCCTGTAAAAAGCGGTAAATATATTTTTTTTCTGGGCATATACTGTAAATAACAACTGTGCCAAATTGTGTTATTTATGTGAACTCCATATTCTCAATATTTCATACGCGACTGAAAAAAAGAGTTTATGGACACTTACAGTTTTTCTCGATTGTTTACTGTAAAAAAAATCCTGTAAAAAGCGGTAAATATATATTTTTTCTGGGCATATACTGTAAATAACAACAACTGTGCCAAATTGTGTTATTTATGTGAGCTCCAACTCAAAAAAAAGAGTTAATGGACGATTGTTTACATACACTGTAAAAAAAATCCTGTAAAAAGCGGTAAACTACTGGCAGCTGTGGTTGGCAGCATCATCCCGTAACTATACGGTGCGTTACTGTTTTTGTGTTAGAGCATATAGCTGTTAAATGAAAGTTTTATACTGTAGCTAACAATACGGTATTTAGCTGTTGATTTCAAAAACAGTAACACACCGTATTTTTACCGTATGATGCTGGAAACCACAGCCGCCAGTATAGTTTACTGCTTTTTTACAGGATAATTTTTCCTCACACTCTCAGAACTCTACACACAAATCAAAAAACACACACACATAATTGGCAAAACCCATCAATTCTCCTGCAAAATGAAACTTTACATTCAAAACAATGTTATTTATTCTCAAAATGGTACGGTATTTTGTTTTCAAATGACATGCAAACCACCATATGAATAGACAATTATAAGAACCACACTGTAAAAATACATATTCTTTATCTAATCAATAGAATTGTGGCAACAGATTACAAGCAATATTATTAATTAAATTTAACAAATTAGAATTGAGTAATAATTAATCAAATTATTCCTTAAAAGCTAACCATTTAAAATGAGTAAAGTTTACGCCAAAAAATATAACAAAAATATCTCACTAACAGACAGATGTCAAAGATTAATTAAGAACTCTTTATTTTTGTTAACAAGCAGAATCACTGAAGGAGAAAACCGTAATTTTAAGACAAACACTGATCACCATAATGGTGACTTAAATATTTTTTTTTTTTGGTTGTTGTAAGTTTTACTCATTTTAATTGGTTAACTTTTAAGGAATTGATTTGGATTTGATTAATTATTACTCAATTATAATTTGTTAAATTTAATTAATAATATTACTTGTAATCTGTTGCCACAATTTTTTTTATTAGATGAAGCATATTCATTTTTACAGTTCTTCTCCATTCATCATAATGACTTAGGCCTCTTTTTGACAGTACATACATAAGTGTGTTAAAATATTTGAGTAAATATTTGTAAATAGTAAAATAGTAAATATTTGGTAAAATATTTGAGAATATTGTTTTTATACCCAGAACACACATACATGGTAACAAATAAATTTAATTTTTCCCTCAAAAACAATGTACATCCCAACGAACACACAGTCGCACATACAGTGGTCTACATACAAAACAACAGAAAAAATGTACTGCATGCATTTAAAAATAAATAAATACGCTGCATCCTCTCCTCTGTTTGGTCTTAAAGCTCTGATTGCTAATTTGTAAAACTGTGTGACGGGTGTTTGCCCATGTGACGAGTCAGTGTGTGCATATCTGAATGGTGCATAAAAATCGTGCCAGATAATTGTGTGTAGTGTTTTAAAAAAAAAGTGTGTTTCAGAGTGTAAAGCAGGAATTGTGCTTGTGGTTTAGCGGAATCGTTTCAGGGGGTTGTGCATGAGTTACATGTTGTGGTCATTGTGTGTAAACAATTAATTTCCCATGATATCATTTCCTGTGTTCGATTCAGTAAATTCATCCTCTTGTCGTTCCAGTTCAAATCTCTGTTAGTCTCTTTCTTTTAATGTCTTTTTTGTGTGTATTGTAAAGCCCTGTGAACGATATTAATGTAATTTACACACTGTGCTGGTTGTTTTTTTGAATAGGGACTGTGTTGCAGAGAATTTGAGGGAAGGACCATGTGGTTTGGGAGGCTTACAGACAGATGTGTCCCGAAGGAACCTCTCCTTGTTCAGTCTTTACTCAATTGTGTGCTTATAAAAGGAGATTGGCAGCACCATGTATCCAATTACCTGATGTGTCAGTTCCAGCTGTTGTGTGTGTGAGTTTTAGTACAAAAACTTAATTAAAGGGATAGTTCACTTTGAAATTATTTTTTGGTATGTTTTAGCGTACCTCAAGGGCATCCAAGATGTAGGTGTCTTTGTTTCCGAAGTAGTTTCAATTTTGATATTTTTAGGTCAAACCGTTCTTGTCTTGCACAGAGAAGTCCAAATTAAACATGATTTTAATGGCTCGTAAATGTAAGGACACATTGATGGCCTAAGACCCGAAACGAGCGGTTTGTGTGAGAAAACGAACAGTATTTATATAGTTTTGACCGAAGCGCCGCTCCCTCAGATCAGTTGGACGTGGCTGTGGTTACAAGTGGTAAAAACTATATAAATACTGTTCGTTTTCTCACACAAACCGCTCGTTTCGTGTCTTAGACCATCAATGTGGACTTACATTACGAGTCATAAAATCATGTTTAATTTGGTCTTCTCTGTGCATGCTCTTTGAGGTAGTGACCATAGACCTCCATTATATGACTGATAAACGAACGGTTTGACCTAAAAATATCAAAATTGAAAATACTGTGGAAACAAAGACACCTACATCTTGGATGCCCTCGAGGTAAGATAAAACATATCAAAAATTAATTTCAAAGTCAACTATCCCTTTAAAGGATGACACGCTGTCCTCTTTGACTTGAAGAGTTTTGTTTTTGTAGAAACTAAATTACATTTTTTTATTGCTGGAAGGTTTTCTATATAGTTGAGCTGTTTTTTCTTGTACATTGTAAAATAGGATCTGGCAAAAATATAACTAAAGTGAAATTTAGTGTCCGCAATGGGAATATTTTTTTTGGTGAGGTTTTTGAGGGCTTATGTAATATTTTCAGGCACTCGATCTCATTCACTGCGAGTGTAATCTTTGCAGGACTGTGATATGAAGAGTGTGAACTGTGTGAAATTGAATAGCAAATAACAGGCATAATACCAGTATACACATGACTATCTATGGGTTCAATATGTGTCACATGACTAAACTAACATCATTGTTTTCAATACCTCCGTTTTCCCAGCCCAACAGTTTTAAAATGTATTTGGAGAGCGTTTTAAACAAGCTTAATTTTCCGTGACACCGTCTCAGTGTGGACACAAGGCCAAAACAGAGAGAAAAAGATGTTTTCAAACAAAAATGTATTAGTGTGGACGATTCAAGTCAGCTTATATAGCGCTTTTACAATACTGATCGTTTCGAAGCAGCTTTACAGAGATAACAGGGAAATAATGCGACAATGTTTGTTTCTAGAAGTAAATAGTGTCGTAGTCCAGCTCAGCGATGGTTCATTTTTGGTGTAAAAAAGTAATTTAGTTAATTTTTATATACCGCCGCTCTGGAGAAAACAGTGATGTCATCGTCCAGCTCAGTTCAGTTCTCATATAATGGTGTCATTGCTGAGAGATCAATAATATCGTTGAATATTACATGTCCGCAACTAAGCAAACCAAAAAAGCCAGTAACACTTTACAATACGGGTGCACTAATATGCATTAATTCATTCTTTAACTAATGCACAGATAATCATGAGTTAATTGCTATTAATTCAACGTGCCATTGTGTATTAATTCCTTAATAACATATTTTCTTAACTAATAGTGTAAATTAATGTGTTGATTACCACAATTAGTCAAAGCTATGCACTTCAACTTCCAGTTGTCTGCTTTAATTAATCATTAGCTAATGATTTGCAAAGGTATCATTATGTTATGACTTTACTTGTGGGGGCACGTCATTATTAACTATTCATTTAGTAATTGTAGTAATTTGCACATGAATTTGCACTAACAATGAAGTAATTAATCATGTATTAATGCATATTTGTGTACCTGTCATATTATCTGGAAGTTGAAATACAAGGCTTTGGCTCATTCTGGTAATTAACATATTAATTAATACTATTAGTTAAACAAATGTGTTATTATGGAATTAATCCACAATGACATATTTAATTAAGAACAATTCATGGATGAACTAATACAATTAGTTCCTAATGTGGTAATCATTAATGAATAGCTTAAATAATCATTAATTCAGTATTATCTGTGCATTAGTTAAGCATGAATTAATGCACCCGTATTGTAAAGTCTTACAAAAAAGCCTTTTCCGAGTTATCTGGACTTCTGGATTTGTGTTTTTAGATCGAAGCTGCTGTTCAGTTATGATAACGTAACATTGGAAGTTATGAAAGTGCTGACGTGAGAATGTGTTTGTGTGTTGTTCTCCACAGTCGAGGCTGGGGCTGGTGTCTGGATGATCCTCCCGTCAGAAACGAGCTGTCGAAGCGTTCGTCTCCCGCCGGCATCCTGTACAGCGCCGCTCACCAGTGCAAGCTCCAGTACGGGTCAAACTCACTGCTCTGTGACGACGTAGACGTAAGATCTTCCCCTTAAACCCACGGATACCTCCCATTCCCCCTGCAGACACACGTGTGATGCCAAACTACTGAGGAAAATGGGTCAGAGGTGTAGAGAAGTGTCTTAAATGATCTGTTTATGAAGTGCGGATGGAGCGAGACGTTTTCTGCTGGGAACTGTCAAAAAAAAGTAGGCTATAATGTAGGTTACATTATAGCCTACTTTTTTTTACAGTTCCCAGCAGAAAAAGTATATTAGCGCTTCTTCTTACAGTTTTTCAACACAATTTTGCAAACTAGTCTGGTTTTATCAAAATACTTTTACTTTTGTGTGTTCGGTCCAGTGTGTCTGATCTCAAGAAGAAATGAACCGGAGCAGATTTACACATAGATATCTATATAAAGGCTAGATATGTCGTCCACGCTGCTGGCCAATGGAGGTCGACGTCTGCACCTGGCGGCCATCTTGCCACAGTCAGCTCGCTCACTCGTTACATCGTGTTAATGGTACATGTATTATTAAAATAACCATAACTTGCTAAATTTTCTACCGATTTTCAAACGGTTTGGTTTGTTATAAACGTCAGAGATGTAGTTATGACACTGCATTCTTATGAATAATAAGTGTATAAATAAATAATCATCCAGATAATTATAGCCACGTTAATAACGTTTGTAAGAAACCAAAGCGTTTGTAAATCCGTCAAGAGTATTTGTGTTCGTGCTGACCACTCATGGCCGCCGGTGATGACGATAGAAACTCTGCCTTAAGACATCGAGCCTTTATATAGATATCTATGGATTTACATGTATTACATCATCACCTATTACATCATCACCAGGGACCAATGGGAGTTCAGAGGCGTTTCCCAGCCGGTTTAGTTATAAATATTTTTCTGGAGAGTTCGCTTTGGCAAGCTGTTTCGAACTACTAAATCAACATTACGTTGGCCTGATATTGACGTCACACTAAATAATTCTTTAATTTGGCTTAACTGTGAAGCCAGAGTTCAGGTCATGTAGTTTCTTTCGTCCATGTAACAGAACAGACACACAACAAATGTCTTGTCTGCTGGGATGCTGTTCTGAATCGGATCTCTTTAGGAAACGTTCTCATAAGCACGTCGTGTATTTCCAGGCCCATGGGCTTCTCAAATGTTCTCACTGTTATATTGTGAACCTTTTCTAGTTCAAGTGTCTGGAAGGGTATAGACCACACACACACTTTTCCATCACAGAGGAAGTCTCCGTTACTTACATCAGTACCATCTGATTCCCAGCTGTTTTAGTGGGAAACAAAAGCACACTTTGTGGCCGGGTCTTGGGTGCTGTTGCGTTGCTGTTTAACCAGCGGGATAAATGACTCTTGCACCCGACGCAAGTTTAAAAGGGGTTGGTCTGAAGTAGCTTCATTATTTATATGTGTGGTTTGGGCATAACGGGAAACAAACCAATCAGAGCGTCATATCACATTGATGAACAAGGTGCGCTTGTTCCATGGCGCAATTCTATTATAACGGCTCGTTTACACATACAAAGGTAAACTTTTGTCCATTTAAGGAGCTAATATGAACATTTTAGGTGCTAATATATACATTTTAGGTGTGAATATGTACATTTTAGGTGCTACTATGTACATTTCAGGAGCTAATTATGTCCATTTTAGGTCCTAATATGTAAATTTTAAGTGTTAATATGTACATTTTAGGTGCTAATATGTACATTTCAGGTGCTAATATGTACATTTTAGGTCGTAATAAGTACATTTTAGGTGCTAATATGTACATTTTAGGTGCTAATATGTACATTTTAGGTCCTAATATGTACATTTTAGGTGTTAATATGTACATTTTAGGTGCTAATATGTACATTTTAGGTCCTAATATGAACATTTTAGGTATTAATATGTACAGTTTAGGTGCTAATATGTACATTTTAGTTGCTAGTATGTACATTGTAGGTGTTAATATGTACATTTTAGGTGTTGATATGTACATTTCAGGTGCTAATATGTACATTTTTATGTGCTAATATGAACATTGTAGGTGTTAATATGTACATTTTAGGTGCTAATATGTACATTTTAGGTATTAATATGCACAGTTTAGGTGCTAATATGTACATTTTAGATGTTAATATGTACATTTTAGGTCCTAATATGTACAGTTTAGGTGCTAATATGTACATTTTAGGTGCTAATGTACCACTAAGGTACCAATATGCAACCTTTGGGTACAAAAGCTTACCTTTTGAAAAGGTACAGCCCCAGTGACGGCTTTTGTACCTTTTTTTCTAAGAGCGTACCACAATCGGTTCACAGCTGAGGAGATCGATGTTCTCGTCAGGGCAGTAAACGAAAGAGAAATGACTTTGGGGATGGGACAAACACAGTCAAATTAGCTTTGGTTAAACATGCTTATAATAATTTGGGTAAATGTGTAAGCTTTATGCCTATTTTTCCCATCGTCATGGACACAACAATGATTTCCCTCCTGTTTTAATAGTTTTCCTTTTGCTCTGCAAAAGTAAAATGCATCTGTGTAGATGAGAGAATCATCTATAGTGTATGCACGTTGTTCACTCTGTATTATGGCCAAGCATGCGCGCTTAAAATAGCATCTGAATGTACGCGCAACGCCACCGACTTTAGACTTGTTTTTTTTTTCTGGTCAGTGGCGCAATTGTTTTCTGGAACTGTAAAATAGCTCTAGTGATTGTTTGCGCCGACCCGCCCAAGGAGCGCAAGTTCATTCCCTAGTTTACCGATGTGCGTCTGTGGAGGGAAAAGTCAAAACAGGAATGATATACGCGTCAGTGTATTTGCGCCAGGTGCAAGATAGGGCCCATAGAGCTCTTTACCTTGAATATTTCTCACCTATAGTAAGCTAGCTGAACAATACGGGGGAAAACAGCGTATCTGGTTTGAATGGCGTCCTGCAGAATTAATATAGGGAAAAGGGCATCAGATTGCAGGGTTGTGTGTCGGTCATGTATGTCAAGTCGCATCAGCGATGTTTTCTGCTTTCTGCTGTTGACAGATACTAGCCATCGCTCCAATTACTGTCCAAATGTCACAGACACAGCGGAGGAGTTGCCACTCGCTCCTTCGGACACAGATAAAGCCAGACTTCAGCTTCCTTATCAGGGCTGTTACAGTTCAAGCAGTGAAACAGAGGAAATTGCAGAGGTTTAGAAATGCAATTAATGTTTGTGTTTGGTACACAAGATTTGCCATTTCGTAAAAGTCTTGAGAATATTAATGCTCTTATAGATATTAACAGGACACAAATCCACCATCTCAGATTTACTGTATGCCCTGACATAATTGAGTGTCATAAGAATTAAAAGACTTAAAGGAGTAGTTTACTTTAAAAAAACTTTTGCTGATAATTTACTCACCCCCATGTCATCCAAGATGTCCATGACTTTCTTTCTTCAGTTGAAAAGAAATTAAGGTTTTTGATCAAAACATTCCAGGATTTTCTCCATATAATGGACTTCAATGGGAACCAAACGGTTCAAGGTCCAAAAGACAGTTTCAGTGCAAACTGTTCAAAGGGCTTTAAACGATTCCAGACGATGAATAAGGGTCTTATCTAGCGAAACGATCGCTCATTTAAAAAAAAAAACAACGTTTAAGTTTTATAAGCTCAAATGCTCGCCTTGCTCTGTTCTGGGATGCGCGTTCGTTACTCTCCTGTTCGAACTCGTTCATCAAAATGAACGAATCTTTTTCGGAGTCAATTCGTTCATTTCGTTCGTTGAGCCATTTGTGTGTATAAAACTTAAACTTTGTTATCTATTTTTCGAATGATCGATCATTTCACTTGATAAGACCCTTATTCATCGTCTGTAATCGTTTAAAGCCCTTTGAACAGTTTGCACTGAAACTCTCTTTTGGACCTTGAACCGTTTGGTTCCCATTAAAGTCCATTATATGGAGAAAATCCTGGAATGTTTTCATCAAAAACCTTAATTTCTTTTCGCCTGAAGAATAAAAGACACGGACATCTTGGATGACATGGGGGTGAGTAAATTATCAGCAAAAGTTTTTTTTTTTTTTTTTTAATATTGAACTATTCCTTGAAGTGTGGTCTTATTTTAAACATGACCCTTGGAAACCTTGGTTGTTGAATTAAAAAAAAAAGGTTAAAAAGTGAAATAACAAAAGGTTTAAGTTAATAAATAATTTATTATATAAAATATATAGAAATTTTGTTTGGGTGCAGTACCTCATTTTCCCCATTAGATGCTAATATAAACTTATTATTTTTTAAAAACGTTAGGTTAATTTCTTAAATAACATTTATGAAGAACATGACGGCCATATTCCAGGATGATATGTCAAAGGCTCAAACTGTGAAAGAATGGTTGTGAGGAGTCATTTCCACACATGAATCGGCTCCTTAAACTCATTGAACGTCTTTGCACTCATAGAAGAAATGGTTCTATTTTGAACCAGAAATGGTTCCATCCCCCACTTCATATTTGGAACTCCAAAATGGTTCTATATAGAACCATTTTTTTTGGTAAAAGGTTCTATTGGCCAAGTACGGAACCCCAGGGTTCTATATATTTTTTAAGAGTGATTAAGAACCTTTTAGGGGTTCCAAATACGTAGCGCTGATAGAACTTTTAAGGTTCTATATAGAACCTTTTCTTCTAAGAGTGTGGGATGTTCTACGCTAAAGTTATTACCGGTAGCATATGCCGTGTGGTTGATGTCCAGCGAACCAGAAATACATAATCATGTTTCTCTTGGTCCCCTTTTTTTTAAAATGGCGGGTGCTGGAGTTTCACGTGCCTTCGGCCAATCAGCGAACACTAACGTCACGGATAGTTCCTATAGCGCTGGTTTAGACCGACTCTGAAGTAGCAGCTAAATTAGTTCCTCCAAAAGAGCTAAAATCGATCCTCATCCGGGTACTTCATTCCTATTGAGAAAGCCCCAATAATCTAATATTATAAATGATTGAAACCCTTGAAATGACTGCCCCCTGCAGAACATGTGCAGCACCCTGTGGTGTACGGTGGGCTCGACCTGTCACTCCAGGCTGGACGGGGCCGTGGATGGGACCAAGTGTGGAGAGGACAAGGCAAGCCGGGGTTTTCATTTCCCTGCATGCCGTTCACCTGCGAGTTCTCCTTCCCAGTTCCTTGGACTCTGACTAACTGAAGATCTTTTGTTTTTGTCAGTGGTGTTTTGACGGTGAGTGTGTGGTGGCGGGCTCCCAGCCTGAAAGCGTGAATGGAGGCTGGGATTCGTGGAGCGACTGGTCCGAGTGCACCAGGACCTGCGGCACGGGCGTTCAGAATGCCCAGAGGGACTGTGCCAACCCAGTGTGAGTGTCCTGGTTTCCTCTGTTTCCAGTTTCAGAAGAAGAAAACACACACATTTGTTTCCATAGGCGTAATGGGTTTTATGCTGTCCAAACTGTATATACACTTACCCTACCCCTAAACCTGCCACACACACACACACACACTAAACCGACCCCTACACCTGCCCATCACAAACAGTGAGTTTCCTAGTTTCTTGTTTCAGAAAAAAAAAGAAAGAAAATATGACACACACACAAAAGCACGTGCGAGTGGGAGGAGCTATTTTTATCATCGATTGTATGGGAGAAGGCTAGCATGTTTATGGTTGACAGGGAAATGATATTTAGTGTTTGAGTGTGTGTTTATTTTGCAAGCCTTTATATATAATGCATTATAAACCTATTTTAATGCATTGTCCTTCTTACATGTAGTTACAATAGTAATTACACATAATTATATGCAACTAACCCTAAACCACACCATTATCCTTACTGTTATAAATGTATAATTACACTGTAACAAGAACGCCATCAAATAAAGGGTTACAGAAAAAAAAAATAATAACAAAGTTTAAGTTGTATAAGCTCAAATGCTCGCCTTGCTCTGTTCTGGAATGCGCGTTCGTGACTCTCCTGTTCGAACTCGTTCATCAATATGAACGAATCTTTTTCTGAGTCAATTCCTTCATTTCGTTCGTTGAGCCATTTGAGCTTATAAAACTTAAACTTTGTTATTTATTTTTCGAATGATCGATCGTTTCGCTTGATAAGACCCTTATTCATCGTCTGTAATCGTTTAAAGCCCTTTGAACAGTTTGTACTGAAACTGTCTTTTGGACCTTGAACCGTTTGGTTCCCATTGAAGTCCATTATATGGAGAAAAATGCTGGAATGTTTTCAGCAAAAACCTTAATTTCTTTTCGACTGAAGAATGAAAGACATGGACATCTTGGATGACACCTTATCCCTTTAAGTGTGGTCTTATTTTAAATATGACCCTTGGAATCCTTGGTTGTTGAAGTAAAAAAAAAGGTTAAAAAGTGAAATAACAAAAGGTTTAAGTTTATTACTTACTGTTATAAATGTATAATTACACTGTAACAAGAACGCCATCAAATAAAGGGTTGCAGTCGAATTATTCATTTAAGTGCGGAGTAATAATCAACTAGGATTAGGTTTAGTTGCATGTATTTATGCAAAATATATAGTTATTATTACTAACTACACATAACATGTAACAAAGATACCGGTTACGTTTTTTTCAAAGGTATCTTTGTTACTGAGTAATATTACTGTAATTAACTACATGTACTGTACTTACTATAGGGTTAGGTTTGGGGTTTTTGGTAATTATGCACAATTGTAGTTATTATTATTACTATAGCAACTACATGTAACAATGACACTGTAAAAATAAAGTGGTAAGCCCAATAATGCATTGTATTGTCTCCACAGCTATAATACATAACAGAACTTATGTCATGCCTTTAAAAGTATAATGCATGACAAACAACCAATTTTAGATGTAACAAGGAATCTGCAATTAATATAATGCATTTTACTGTTGGTTACAAATAGGGCTGGGTATTGAGACAAATTTCACAATTCGATTCGATTTCGATTCACAAGCTTGCAATTCGATTCGATTTCGATTACGATTCGATTCAATATCGATTATTTTGGATATCAGTTACAATAAATGGCAAATTTTCTCAAGGGAATCAAATCTCTTAAATGCTGTAAACTATGGTCTATATATATAGTCTAGTTGTAGCCTACTAGGCTTCATTAGCCTAATATGAAGGCAATAATTAACTGTTTCATAGCTATACAAACACTTAAATTATACTTTTATTTATTTTTATAGTAAGAAGATTATATGAAATATAAACATTTAAATGGTGGCTGTCATAAAAACTTGCCAGATTTATTCAAATATGCATTAAATATTGAAGAACACTAACGAGTGTGGACGAGTTAATGTGGGTTTTATGAGGTAAATATGACGATATATGCTTACAAGCTGTTGAACTGACGTCTTTCCACGGATGAAACGCAGTTTGAGCGAATCAATGTGACATGATACGGATTTCGATAAGTTGTACTCTATCTTTTAACACACTTTCAGATGCTCGTTCATGTTTATTTGGCGCTGTAGCTGGTATTATTAACCCGGAAGTGAGATCAGCGCTGCTGCTTCTCTGGAGCGATCTCACGCCACAGCGCCAAAACGCTATTTATGTTTTTGAATTTCTAAAGAAAATGGACGTAATGTGAAAATTGAGACTTTGTTTCATATCAATAGTAACAAAGGACAAAGATTATTGCGATTTGTTGGATGCGCGCAACCGCGATACAATGTCCCATTCTTTCAAAAGAAACAGGATGACTAATCGATTCTTGAGATTTAAGAATCGATATCGGTTTGTAAAAATGAGAATCGATTAATATCGAGAAATCGATATTTATTACCCAGCCCTAGTTACAAATATATAATGCATTATGAATATCATCATTTTATACATACATATTGATCATGTATAACCTCCGTCATCCTCAATGGCCTTTATGTGTCTCTGTGGTTCTGATGATGAGAAATCGTGAATACATTCAATATTGGAGAGCATTGCTAGACTAATAAAACAAGTCACTGTCTCTGGTCCACATGTTCAGAGTTTGTGAAGTATAATGATTTCAATGTATTTGGCTTGCTATTCTCTATTCTGGCAGATGGTTTGCACTCGAAGCAAGTTTTTAAAGATGGAAACAGATTGTGGCCTACATGTGAATGCATCTCTAAGATGTTGTAATTGATGGAAAGCATGTGCAACATGTGCGTCATATTTCAGAAGAACTTTTCAAGGATGTGGGAAAAAGATAACAACAATTATCTTCCATTTAAGAGAAAAAAAAATTACATTTTGATTTGATGTTAAGATCATTTCTCCTGTCCCTGTTTAATGTGCAACTATGAATAAAGCTTTTAGATGTTTGAGTCGCCTACCATTATGTGACTTGACACAAGCATCAAAGACTGTCTTGCATGCACAAAATAACATCTTCTGTTTCATAGAAAAGTAAAATATTTTAGTTCAACTATTCCTTTGAACAGCCACCCAGAACACACACATGCAATCATGCCAGGGAGTTTTGCACGGGCACCTTTCATATTGTATTCAGATAAATATGTTTTTAATTGTGCTTAGAGCCAATGGCTGCTTTGACAAGGTGATCTAGACCATTTTATTCCAATTTCAAGCTTTTTGACTAGCCTATATGTGTCTTTTCAGCCAGGTCTCATCCCAAGGCGTCATATACTGATGCTTTTGACATGTCATCTACATCCAACACCAGCACATGGCACCCTTTAGGGCCAGAAGGCGCCTCCTAGTGGTCTAACCCTAACACTACCCCAGACCTAAACCTACCCATAACCGAACAAAGCTCTGTGCGTTTGTTAAAGGGTGCTATGTGCGCTGGATTTTAGACGAAATTTCAAAAGCGTCACTATATGACGCCCTAGGATGAGAATGCGTCTTTTTTGTGAATATTTCTACAAATAACAACTGATTTTGAATGACCGAATGGCGTTTTGAATGTTTCATGCTTTTTTTTTAGACCCAAATATGGCGGTAAATACTGTCTGGGAGAACGGCGCAGATATCGGACCTGTAACCATGAACCCTGCCCTGTGGACCAGCCCAGCTTCAGATACATTCAGTGCACCCGCTTTAACACAGTCCCTTATAAGGGGAAGTTTTATAAATGGACGCATGTGAATAACAGAGGTAAGCATTATGCCACTGCATACACTCTAAAAATTATATGTTGGATTTAATTAAAATATATATACGCACTATTTTTGCATTATACTTTTTAAGTAATCCCGACTTGGAATCATTTTACTTAAAATATATGTTATATGTTATAATGTACTTAAATATTTGAGTTCACGCAACATTCTTTACTTAAAAATATATGCATCGCGTTACATAAATATTTGAGTTCACGCAACATTCTTTACTTAAAAATATATGCATCGCGCTACTTAAATATTTGAGTTCACGCAACATTTTTTACTTAAAAATATATATGCATCGCGTTACATAAATATTTGAGTTCATGTAACATTCTTTACTTAAAAATATATGCATCGTGTTACAGAAATATTTGAGTTCACGTAACATTCTTTACTTAAAAATATATGCATCGCGTTACATAAATATTTGAGTTCATGTAACATTCTTTACTTAAAAATATATGCATCGCGTTACATAAATATTTGAGTTCATGTAACATTCTTTACTTAAAAATATATGCATCGTGTTACAGAAATATTTGAGTTCACGTAACATTCTTTACTTAAAAATATATGCATCGCGTTACATAAATATTTGAGTTCATGTAACATTCTTTACTTAAAAATATATGCATCGTGTTACAGAAATATTTGAGTTCACGTAACATTCTTTACTTAAAAATATATGCATCGCGTTACATAAATATTTGAGTTCATGTAACATTCTTTACTTAAAAATATATGCATCGCGTTACATAAATATTTGAGTTCATGTACCATTCTTTACTTAAAAATATAAGCATCGTGTTACAGAAATATTTGAGTTCACGTAACATTCTTTACTTAAAAATATATGCATCGCGTTACATAAATATTTGAGTTCACGTAACATTCTTTACTTAAAAATATATGCATCGCGTTACATAAATATTTGAGTTCATGTAACATTCTTTACTTAAAAATATATGCATCGTGTTACAGAAATATTTGAGTTCACGTAACATTCTTTACTTAAAAATATATGCATCGCGTTACATAAATATTTGAGTTCATGTAACATTCTTTACTTAAAAATATATGCATCGCGTTACATAAATATTTGAGTTCATGTAACATTCTTTACTTAAAAATATATGCATCGTGTTACAGAAATATTTGAGTTCACGTAACATTCTTTACTTAAAAATATATGCATCGCGTTACATAAATATTTGAGTTCATGTAACATTCTTTACTTAAAAATATATGCATCGTGTTACATAAATATTTGAGTTCACGTAACATTCTTTACTTAAAAATATATGCATCGCGTTACATAAATATTTGAGTTCACGTAACATTCTTTACTTAAAAATATATGCATCGCGTTACATAAATATTTGAGTTCATGTAACATTCTTTACTTAAAAATATATGCATCGTGTTACAGAAATATTTGAGTTCACGTAACATTCTTTACTTAAAAATATATGCATCGCGTTACATAAATATTTGAGTTCACGCAACATTCTTTACTTAAAAATATATGCATCGTGTTACAGAAATATTTGAGTTCACGTAACATTCTTTACTTAAAAATATATGCATCGCGTTACATAAATATTTGAGTTCACGCAACATTCTTTACTTAAAAATATATGCATCGCGTTACATAAATATTTGAGTTCACGCAACATTCTTTACTTAAAAATATATGCATCGCGTTACATAAATATTTGAGTTCACGCAACATTCTTTACTTAAAAATAAATGCATCGCGTTACATAAATATTTGAGTTCACGCAACATTCTTTACTTAAAAATATAGGCATCGCGTTACATAAATATTTGAGTTCACGCAACATTCTTTACTTAAAAAAATATATGCATCACGTTACATAAATATTTGAGTTCACGCAACATTCTTTATTTAAAAATATATGCATCACGTTACATAAATATTTGAGTTCACGCAACATTCTTTACTTAAAAAATATAGGCATCACGTTACATAAATATTTGAGTTCACGCAACATTCTTTACTTAAAAATATATGCATCACGTTACATAAATATTTGAGTTCACGCAACATTCTTTATTTAAAAATATAGGCATCACGTTACATAAATATTTGAGTTCACGCAACATTCTTTATTTAAAAATATAGGCATCACGTTACATAAATATTTGAGTTCACGCAACATTCTTTATTTAAAAATATAGGCATCACGTTACATAAATATTTGAGTTCATGCAACATTATTTACTTAAAAATATAAGAAAATTCAGTTTAAAAGTTAATTCCTTGACCAAAATTGCTACAAACGATTGAGTGAAAAAAAAAAAGTTAAGCTATCATTTTTTTTCTGTGCTTCACAAAAAGGCTCCAATTTTTGGCTGGAAAGGCATCACAGGAAATTGCATATATATCAAATGTATTGCAAATGTAATGCTTGATTTACTTAATTTTAAAGCAATTTTTATAGTAGTTGACTTGACTTATGTTTTTTCTTTTTATTTATGCATACATTTAAGCTCACCTAGTAACTTATATTTTTGTGTTACACTCACTATATATGTTAAGTAGAGGTTGAAAAGTAATGAACACTTAATTTTTTGTGTTTAATCTAATTACTTTTATAAGTAATAGTTGTTCAGCCAACGAATCATTGCACAATTAATTGTTAAAAGATTGAGATTTCGATTCAAACACTCCATGTGATCTCATACCTAAACGACAACGTTTCACCTCTGTCTTTTAACTCTTTTAACTCATTATTTTGTGGGCAAGTTTCATTAAAAAAGCTCAATTTTAAGCAAAAAACTGAGAAAATCACGTTGGGATTCAGAACAATTACCAAAACATAGATGGAGTACATCGAGTGCATCAGCACCGTTTTGATTTATATGGTGTTTAATGTTGATGATCGCGTTATTTTAAGTATGCATATAATTACATATGAGATCGCTCGTTTCAGCATATTCTTCGCATGTGTTTTTATCAGGATATTCAGTACTCTTTCAGAAGATGCGTAATAGCACCCCCTACCGTCTACCGTTGGCGGTGAAGTGTTTTCTTACGAATTACGAAAATTTCCCAAGGGGGTAATTCACCATCCGGTGTGGAGAAGGGTCCGAGCTTAGGACCCCATTATTATGCCTGATCTAAATCTGTTCTTGCGATAACTTGTAGCTAACGTGAGCTGTTTTGGCGTTATGTGTAGCTTGAATGCTAAATCCCACTGTTATGTGCAAGATAAAATAAAAGATAAAAGCAGTTTGTTGCCATCAAGTAATGCATTTATTTGTATACCACTTTTCATTGTAGGTTGCGTCAATAGCAGAGGAGAAAAGGCTGCGAAATTTAAAAATACTATTTTTAAATTTAAAAAATTTAAAATTTAAAAAAAATTACATTTTACCAAAAAATTTAAAATTTGACGTACAACAATGGGCCTTGCAGCAGAATCACATTTCTTTTACAGTGAATAACACAAGTTATATATCACCTGTTTAATCAGAGATTATTGATCAAGACACCAAATGATGATTCATCATTCCATAAATCATCATCAAAACAACATTTTCTTTTGGCTTTTGTGCCATAACAAATGTGTTATATAAACACTCAGTTACAGCAGCCAGAGGAAAACCTGGTGTTATAAAGTCATTCCTCAAATGAAATGAGTTAGCTTAACTTGTTACAGAAAATCGTGATTCTTAATTTATCCAGAATGGTGCAGCTCTAGCACTTCATATCTAGTATACTGGGGTGATAATGAGAGATTTTGTGGAGGCTCTCTTTAAATAGATGTTACGGGAAGGCTACGTTTGTGTGATTTCAGTTGATCCGTGCGAGCTGCACTGCAGACCTGTGAACGAGCAGTTCTCGGAGCGGATGCTAGACACGGTCTTGGACGGGACGCAGTGTTATGAAGGCAGTCAGAGACGAGACATATGCGTGAACGGCATTTGCAAGGTTGGTAATGGCTTTGACCTCTTTGCTCAGTCTCAGACTCTCCTTGTAAATTTCTACTTGTCATTTTCTTCGCAAGCCATTGAGAGTCTGTCAGCTTGAGTATCAGTCAACTGTGAAATTACTGTATATGACACAAGAGAAACTCAAAAACATATCTGAACAAGTCCTTGTTCGACCCCAGGCTGAAATGCATGCATGGTAATGATGAATAAAGAAGGAAGCTTGTTTTTGATGCAGTCTTGCTTCTACAGAGCTCTTTCTCACAATATACATTTAAATATTTAGCAGACTACAAACATGTTTCACTGAACCAACCATAGCCTTATTATACTGTTATAGGCACACTGTAAAAAAAATATTGATGGTTTAACTTAAAAAAGTAAAATTTTAAGTTCATTGAACTGGAAAAAGTGAGTTAATACAATGAAGGAGATTCATTTAACCATCAGAAACTCAAAATTGTATGTTATCTGAACTAAATAAATTATTTAAGTTGATTTGACAAAGGAAAAAATGTTGTGATTACTACACTGTAAAAAAAATATTGTTGGTTTAACTTAAAAAAGTAAGTAACCTGGGTTGCCTTAAAAATTTTAAGTTGAATAAACTGGAAAAAGTGAGTTAATACAATGATGGAGATTCATTTAACCATCAGAAACTCAAAATTATATGTTATCTGAACTAAATAAATTATTTAAGTTGATTTGACAAAAGAAAATATGTTGTGATTACTACACTGTAAAAAAAATTGTTGGTTTAACTTAAAAAAGTAAGTAACCTGGGTTGCCTTAAAAATTTTAAGTTAATTGAACTGGAAAAAGTGAGTTAATACAATGAAGGAGATTAATTTAACCATCAGAAACTCAAAATAATAAGTTATCTCAACTAAATAAATTATTATAAAGTTGATTTGACAAAAGAAAATATGTTGTGATAACAAATCTTGAAAATATTTTTTACAGTGCAGTAAAATTGTGGAGATTTTTTAAAGAGAATCTCTTCTGAAGAGAGCTATTTCACTTGCGTTTGTCATCCAGCAGAAGATAAAACATGGGAAAACCTGAACACATGCCTTATGTCAAGGCAAGAAACACACCTATAATAATCCTTTGTTATAATTCGATGATGTGATTTATTCATATCAGATACACATTGTGTAGAAAACTATAAAGTTGACTCTATTATTCTCCCGGTCCACCGGATAGTGTGTATCCGATTGGAATCTTATTGGAGACATTATTAACTATCCACACTGTGTATCTCAACGGTTCAGATCTGATTTGTGTGTCCCGTTGTGTTCTTTCCGTGTCAACATTGTATTGTAATTTTTTGCTCGACTGGCTCAACAACACAACCTTGTTTCTGCATCAACATTCAGCAAGTTTTCTATAACAGCGTCTGGCATGTTAACATTTTACGTGGCGTGAGAAAGACATAAACCACACGAAATCTGATTAGAGTGGTCAGGATTTCAAACCATATATGAATAGTTGCTCAAAATGGATTTCATGTGATTTATTATTATTGTTTTTTGCTGTTTACATTTTCTAAATATGATCGGATTCTAATTGGATTGGTACAAAAATTGGTTCCCTTTTGTGTCGATGGCGATTTGGGGAACGCCTCTGCATGAACCGATGTCTGAAATGCTTATCTAATCACGGCAATCCTATTGGCTGGCGACAGCCTATGACATCACTACTAGTGCGATGTGGAATTATATAAGGGGAGCCTGGAGAACCTGTCAAAATCTTTTCATCTTCAGAGACTGTTTTGTTTGTACGCTTCAACCTGAAACTTCAAAAAGGTAATCATGGCTTGTGAAAAATGCTCAGGAAGTGTGTGCATCTGTGTCGAAGAATATTGTGCTGGGAATATTTAATTTCTCATCTTGTTTTATTTCAGACTATAACGAGTGTAAATAAGGTGTGGCCCCTTTAAGAGCTGCGCGCTCCCTGTTGAACTCTCTGCAGTGTTATATGTGCGCCTCAAACACCCCATGTGTGCGGGTAATTTCTGTTTGTTGCTACTTCTTTTATCTTATGTTGTTTATTAAGTAAGGATGTGACGGTAGAACGTGTGACAGACAGTTATACGAGTTCGATTTGTGAGGTGTCGATCGCCTCCGTGAGTCTGTCCGGCGTCGCGTAATTGCGTCACTTCATAACGTTCCCATGGAAACAGAGGGAAATGGCTGCTCTTGTGTGAAGCAAACGGAACATTTTTTAACTTTCTACTAAAATACACGTGACTTTTTTTTTGCAACGAAAATGCGAGGATTATGAAATTATGCAAACCCCGCATATTTTGCAAGGAAATCGGCAATTTATGCGGCGAAAGTGCGGCGTATTTGAAAAAATGCGGCCCCGCATAAATATGCGGACTTTGGCTAATTTTGCATTGAATTCAGCGATCGCATAATCGCGTTTTTCTGGAGGGACTGATTATCACTAACATCCTCTGATCCAGCAGCGAGTGCTCTGCTGTGTATAAAAACATCCAGCCCCAGAGAGCAGGAAATGGCTAATGAGGGTGAAGAGGATTTCCAACCCGTCCCCTCGCGTCCCCTGTGTTAAGCTGTTCAGTGTTACGCACTTCAGTGAAGCTTCAGCTGTCGTTGGAGCACGTGAGGGAAGAGGCCGCTCGTGACTTGATGAACGGTTTCTTTCCCGTCATAAAGCTCCAGCTCTCGTGAGCCTTCCATTCCTGCCCGATCTACACAATGAGATGGAAAAGGCATGGAAGAGCCCAAATTCAGTGCACATTCATTGACATTCATGTTGAGAGAATGCGAAAACACAGGTATGTAAGTAGTTGGGCCTTTAAAGGCCCCCTTGAAAGCGGCTCTCCAACGAGTTGGATGCTTAGCATTGCAAAGGCATTAAGTATCACGTTGCAGGCTCCCATGAAGCCTCCCTGTTTCTAGCCCAGAGCCTGGTCAATACTTGATCAGGTTTGAGCATAGTATTCCAGAATCTATCTGAGGATTGTTCTGTATGAATATTTAGCTTCCCAAGTCTGGTCGGAAGGTCGAAGGACTCTCACGAGGTCTCCCTGTTAGATCAGCCCTAGAGCTGAAGGCGCTCCCCTTATCAGGGTCCCTTTTCAGAGTGCCCAGCCTCCACGGGGCTTTGAAGCACTGTGTAGATCCAGGATCGAGTAGAGTTACTCCCCTCGTTTGCAAGGGTTAGAAAGAGAGTTCTACACTCCAGGATGCCCGTTAGGCATAGGTCATAAGACTAGGTCAGTAAATGTGAGCCATTACTGCCACTATCTGCAGTCTTCCCTATTGGATGCCTCCACAAGTGAGGCAAGTTTTGGTGGAGAATCTGTTTAGGAAACAGATGGGTTGTTGGCAAGTCTAGGTCAGTAAATTAGACCAGGTCAGCCCTCCCAGGTGGCATGTGGGGTTGACTTCATGCCACCCTCAGAAAGTGACTGGATGGGACTCCTTTGGACCCCCTGGTCATATTCCCTAAAGGAATCCCTTGCATGGAAGCTGTTGGTTCCAAGCCTTTGAGCGGCCTCGGTAGGCCTTCATTGTTTTGAAGGCCTCCTTGAAGCTTATAGCTTGGGCAGTGGCTGTAGGAAATAGTATCACTGACAGCCAGTATGTGACCCTAAGGGGGAGTGTTTTGGCATTTCAGTGAAACTGCCATCTTTGAAGTTTTTATCACAGCATAATTTGTAGGGCTGGGCAAAAAAATCGATTTTTCGATTAATCGTTTTTTAAAATGTGTTCGATTCAAAATCGATTCTCAACGGCCGGAATCGATTTTTTCCATATAAAGGGCTCGCGGACGCGGTGCTGCATCTTCTCGTCTCTCTGCACTAGGCAAGCGCTAAGCGCTGCAGCTGTCGATACACACACGCGTTTAGGAGTCGGGACATGACGGAATATTCACTTAACAATCGGGCCAGCATTGCATCGTAACCTATGATCGTAACTAACGTTTATCATTTTCACGTCTTTTTGAGTTTTACAAGCAATGTTAAACCATCCCGTGCTCGCGCACTCTCAGAGATGTCTTTCACTGCGTGCACAGTAACATTACAGCCTAAATCTGCCTCACAAACAGCTCGCCAGAAACAAAAGTTTTATCCCGGGATTATATCACAGTTCAAACACGCAACATTATGTCAAAACTCTGGTCTTAAAGGTCTGGTCCTCGTAAAGACAGTCGGTAATGTCTTAAATTAGCATTAAACGCGTGTGACAGAAAGTTAATAAAACAGTAATGGATTCGCACACTAGTTCTTAAAGTGAACGCAGCCATTTGTGTCAGTCATTAATTCTGTTGTCATAACAACAGAATATAGTATTAATTGTAAGCAATCAGAATTAATAGCCTTTGTATTTAATTCAGTCTGGACTAAAAAGACTATCCAGTGTTATTTTACATTGGATTACTTTATTCAGTTTCTGTAGTATTTCTGACATACCCAAAAAACTACCCCAAAATGTCTCTTAATTTGTGTCTTTATTCTATTTATTTATTTGTGCTACTTTTTTCAATTTAATTCAAAGATTGAAATCAAGCTTCCATACATAAACTCTTAAAACAAAAAAACAAAACATTACATTACCATTTAGGTAAGATCAATGTAAAAAATGTCTAAATATTTATATATTTATTTATCTATATCTATCTTAAACATAAAATAACCTGATCCTGTTTGATCAAGCTGTGCGACTGTTCTGACTTTTTTTGCATATTGCATCAAAATCCTGTTTATTCTTTGTATGCATTTAGTGTACCTAAAATAAAAAGAGTTTTATATACAGGTTTATGGCTCTTAATTTCCTTGTATTAATTAACCACTAGTAAACTTATGTCCACTGTTCTTTTTTATAAATATAGGATTTGTATTACATCTTCATTATAGTCGAATCGAGAATCAAATCAGGAATCGAAATCGAAAATTGAATCGAGAATCGAAATCGAATCGAACTGAGAGCTTGTGAATCGAAATCGAATCGAAATTGAAATGTGAATCGATACCCAGCCCTAATAATTTGGCATGCACTCCCCTCAGCATAGCAGCGTTGGTATATCGTTCCCCAAAGTGTCATTGACGCAGTGAGAGTTCCCTTTCGAAAGGGAACGTCTCAGATTACGACTGTAACCTTTTGTTCCCTGAGAACAGGAAAAACTGCGTCTTTCGCCATGCCTCGGGGATGCCTGCTGGACAGTCCCTTCAGACGATGAGATGTTGACATATTCTCCCCTTATATACTTCCGGTTCGCACTAGTACTGATGTCATAGGCTGTCGCCGGCCTATAGGATTGTCGTGATTAGATAAGCATTTCAGACACCGGTTCACACGGAGGCATTCCCCAAAGCGCCATCGACGCAGCGTCTCGTTCCCTGTTCTTAGGGAACAGAGGTTACAGTTGTAACCTGAAACGATTTGGACGTTGCAAGTAAGTCAACATTCACAACCATCCAGTAGAGCTGCACGATTAATCTAACTCAGATCTGTGTTGCTGCTGATGTCTACAGTAGCGTTCAAAACAGAGAAAATCCCTTTTTGAACATAATTGCACTTCAAATAACGATTGTATCAATTACATCGTTTCACCGGTAGTTGTGACTGTCAGATTAATCAATTAAACATTTTAAAGAGACTGCAGCATTCAACATTTTGTCAGAACCTCTAGTAAATTACATGTTATTTTGTTTCGTTGCCTGTTTAGAATCATGATCTCTGTTTAAACAAAAAAAATGATTCTTAATTTTTCCAGAATCGTACCATCCAGAATAACCTAATAACCACTTAGCAACACCCTGGCAACCAATCAGAACACCCAATAATTATAACAGACAGCATGGAGGATGCACTTTTTAAAATTAAATGTTTTTTTTTTTTTTATCTTTTATATGATCGTGTCACAGTACATAGGCTGTGATTACGAAATCGACTCGGATGCCGTTGAGGATCAATGTGGGGTTTGCCATGGAAACGGATCTACATGTGAGACAGTGAGAAAGACCTTTGAGGACAGCGAAGGGCTCGGTTTGTGAAAGTAGCATTCATGTCATAAATATATTACAGTACACATTTGTTTTCTTTCTACTTAATTTGTTTTAATAAGCTGAGGTTGTTGTTGTTGTTTTTTTTTTTGTCTCCCAGGCTATGTAGACATAGGCCTTATTCCGGAAGGAGCACGGGACATCCGTATTGAGGAAGTCGCAGAGGCTGAGAACTACTTGGCATTACGCAGTAGTGACCCTGATAAATATTTCCTGAACGGTGGCTGGACGATCCAGTGGAATGGCGAGTATAAGGGAGCAGGAACAGTATTCACTTATGAAAGGACCGGGCAGCTGGAAAACATATCTTCCCCCGGGCCGACCATGGAGCCGGTGTGGATTCAGGTACTACTTCCATGCATTCAAACAGAATCTAGTATGTCATGTTTGGGGGGTTTTGGTTTCAGAAGCACCTGCTAAAGTGTTCTGCTAAACTAGGTCACAGTGTAGTGAATTGATGCCTGAAATGTGGTTTAGAGTTCAAATAGAGGCTTAAAATGGTAAACATAATTTAACATCTCACATTTAGAGTAGTTCACTTTAAAAAAAAAAAAAACGGTTCAAGGTCCAAATGAGAGTTTCAGTGCAAACTGTTCAAAGGGCTTTAAACGACTCCAGTCGATGAATAAGGGTCTTATCAAGCGAAACGATCGCTCATTTAATAAATAAATAAAGTTTAAGTTTTATAAGCTCAAATGCTCGCCTTGCTCTGTAATACGATGCATGTTCGCGACATCAAAATGAACGAATCTTTTTCTGAATCAGTTTGTTCGTTTCGTTCGTTGAATGAACCAAATGACTCGTAAAAAGATTCATTTATTTTGATGAACGAGTTCAAACAGGAGAGTCACGAATGTGCATCGCAGTACAGAGCAAAGTGAGCATTTGAGCTTATAAAACTTAAACTTTGTTATTTATTAAATGAGCGATTGTTTCGCTTGATAAGACCTTTATTCGTAGTCTGGAATCGTTTAAAGCCCTTCGAACAGTTTGCACTTAAACTGTCTTTTGGACCTTGAACCGTTTGGTTCCCATTGAAGTCCATAATATGGAGAAAAATGCTGAAATGTTTTCATCAAAAATCTTAATTTCTTTTCGACTGAAGAAAGAAAGACATGGACATCTTGGATGACATGGGAGTGAGTAAATTATTAGTAAAAGTTTTTTAAAAGTGAACTACTCCTTTAAAGGACAACTCCGGCGCAAAATGAACCTTTGGTCTAATTACACATTGCTACCTAGTCAACCGTTATCCGAGATTTGTTTTCATGATTGCCGAATGTAAATAGTTTTATTTCTAAAAACAGTTTAGCCTATAACGCTAGTATAATGCTAGTATATAGGGCATAGAGTAATGACAAATAAAAATCGCTTGTTATTACCACTAACAAGGCTCAAAATAGCCCCACACCAACGCAACAGCATAACAAGGGTCCCTACATTCAAACCGAAGCATTGAGAACTTTGTTAGTGTCCAAACAGTTTAATAAGAAGATATTTTATACACACAGTCAACTTCGCGAATACAGGAAGAAGCCATCTTGGAAAAATAGTCTCGACCAGTCGATCTACGAATGCCGATCCAAGTGCGGTGGTGAGATGTGAATAAGGTGATAATGTGAGCGCGAACAGTAGGCTACGTGTACATATTGAAGACAAGTAAACGGTTTGTGTTTGTGTTTCTTCTGGAAACAACGGACCATATGAGATTCTGCACAGTTCAGCGCACTTGGATCGGCGCTCGTAGATCGACTGGTCGAGACTATTTTTCAAAGATGGCGTCTTCCTGTATTCGCGAAGTTGACTGTGTGTATAAAATATCTTCTTATTAAACTGTTTGGACACTAACAAAGTTCTCAATGCTTCGGTTTGAATGTAGGGACCCTTGTTATGCTGTTGCGTTGGTGTGGGGCTATTTTGAGCCTTGTTAGTGGTAATAACAAGCGATTTTTATTTGTCATTACTCTATGCCCTATATACTAGCATTATACTAGCGTTATAGGCTAAACTGTTTTTAGAAATAAAACTATTTACATTCGGCAATCATGAAAACAAATCTCGGATAACGGTTGACTAGGTAGCAATGTGTAATTAGACCAAAGGTTCATTTTGCGCCGGAGTTGTCCTTTAAGGTTAGGTTTAGTAGGTTCAGGGTTAGTACTTAGTTATTAGCCAGTTATGTCAATTACTATCATGAGTACATAGTATGTATATGGGGAACAGGACTGTAGTGCTTAATAAATAGTTTTTAAATAAATGTGTCCATCAACAGTAAATAAAGTAACATTTTGAAGTGTATCTACCTTAATTTTGAACAATACCCCTTCTTGTCTTAAGACAACTTTTTTTGATCCACTTCAAATGTTGACTACTGTATTTGAACAGGACTGGCAAAGTGAAATCAATGGATTTGCATCAAGCGGGAAGTATTGATCGCTTTTTCAATAACAAAATATTAATATATGACTTTATTCCAGTTCTTGTTTAATAAGCAAAATATTTTAGAAAATTTAGTGGATTGATTATTGAACTTATTGCATAAAAGGCTTATTCCCCATTAATCATTAGCAGACAGAGTCTGATTATTAATAGAGAATGTGCATGCTTTTTTTTATGTTGGAGTGCCAATAAAGCGAGGACGCCGTTTATGAGGGAATTAGGCTAGTATGTCTAGCAGAGACGGGGCAATCTAGATAAAGGACTTCCTCCCACTGAGTGATTTAAGACCTTTGGCTCGAAGCCTTTGCGCGGGTGGGGAACGAGGGATTTCTACAGCAGCAGGAGGCAGACAAATGAAATCTGGATCCATAGTAAAGTCTTCTTATCACTATCCGTATTTTAAAATCCCATGTGGCTGAGACTAGCTTACAATCTCACATTTTTCTGTTTTACCCTCAGTGTGTCTTGGTTGTCTTGGTTCTGGTTCACTTAGTGTTCACACTGTCGAACCTAAAGATAAAAACAAAAGCTTTTATGACGTATATTTTGTGACGGAACTTACCGAACATCCAAAAGAATCCTGTGTGCTGGACTAAATATGAATGTATGAATGAATGAATGTGTGTATTTTTAACAGCTGAGAACTCTTGAAAAGCTTATAATATGTGTAACGGAGTTAAAACAGCACCAGGAATCCCAAAAATGCGAGAAAACGCGGTTCTGACGCTCGTACCGAACTGTACAAGCCATTACCCTTCAAATTGTGCAAATTGAAAATAAGAAATGTAAATTTCGCAAAAACTCCCATATATCGCAAAAAAAGTTTTTACATACGCAGAAGGTAGTTTGAAAAAGGAATGTTTCACAAAACTGCAATGGAAATAGTTTTTTTACAGGTCACCTGATGTACGTTAAAGTCAATCATTCTTTAAAGATGACGCTGTATGTTTTAGACAGAAGATAGAAGTTCTTTATTAAAGCTACACTGTGTAACTCTTTTAGTTTATTCTTAGCTAAAAACACTTATATATTTGCTCATTAATGTATATTTACTTCGTTCAAGTAATAAAGTATTCTCGTGAGTGTATAATACGCCATTGAAAATACATACGGGTAAGGGGTTCGCCATGTTGCCCCTCCATCTTGAAAGTACATTAGCCAAAGAGGGACATACCCGTTAATTCAAGCTTACGTTTGAGTTAACACTCATGGACGAGGTCGAACTGGAAGCCATATTAATCTTGGACTACATTGGCCACCGTAGGAGTTAAAATGACATCAGAATTGAGAGGAACAGAAACTAATATTCACTGAATGGTCATATACCTTTTCACCACTAGTTGGGGGTAAAAATCACACAGTGTAGCTTTAATGAAAAAAATCTCGCACCAATTAAAATAATACGATTTCACATAAAATATTCAAACAACTGTCTCTGGTCTCAGCACGAAGATATGTAAAAATGTGATAAACGTGACAAAGATGCTATATCTGATATTGCATACTTTTAAAAAGTGTAGTATATTCGGACAGAGGGACAGACAATACAATAGAATCATCGTAATATATATCTAAATGTATGGGCAAATCTGAGATTTGTGTGTTTTCACGTGATTTGTGTGTTCTTGTGTCAGGATATCTCTTTAATCTGGCCTCAATGTTCTCCAGCTGCTTTTTCAGGAGTCGAATCCTGGGGTGAGGTACGAGTACACCATAAGCAGAGACACTCTAGTCGATTCCAACAACGGCACTGCTGTCTCGTATTTCCAGTGGATTTATGGGAGTTGGACTCAGTGCAGCGCCACATGTGGAACTGGTAAGAGTCGTCTTGTTGTACACTTACGCCCAATCCTGACGGATCTGCTTCACCACTATATGTGTATTTACTTACACTGTTACAGTTTCATATTATACTGAAAAGTGCAGAAAGTTGATCTGTTGCTCTCTCTGCCTCTATTTGCTCGGTTTCACCGATAAATCAGCTCTCAGGAACATATTGCGTTCTCAATAACTGCAGACAGACAGTGAACAGTGCCGAAATAAACTTTATAGGAAACAGACTTTGGACAATCTGATGCTCAAATATAATGCTGTGAAAACATCCCAGCTCAAATAAGCTTAGAAATAATACTTAAATAATGGTATAATATTGTCACATTTACTTTATTTCAATCTACGTGAGAGGGAGTTTTGTGTGATGTAGATTTTTGTCACGGCTGTGCACGGAGATGAACCCAAACGCAGACAGTGTACAATGAACTCAGGGTTTATTAGGACAAAACAGGAAAACAAAACCCACGAGGGGGCAAAACAGACGAAACAAGGGAAACAAGACTGACAAGACTAGAAAATGACTGAACAAGAAAACCAACAACACCTTGTATAATACTACCAATGACAATGCTTCTCACAGACTACTCACAGGTAACATATAGCAATGAACCGACACAAGACAGCAAACACAAGGGGATTATAAAGGGAACACTAATGACAAGGACAGGTGAAACTGACTAGACAATAATCACAAGACTAGGATAACAAGGGGGCGGGGTAACGTAACGAGACAACACAAGCACATGGCCCAAACTGGCCATGCGCTTGCACACAAAACATGATTCTGTCATGATCCTGCCTCACGACTAGAGAATATCAAAGACAAGAAGGCAGAATCATGACAATTTTAGGGGTTAAACAGATTCGTACTGACCAGGCCATATGGTTCGGCACGCATGTGATTCATGGATTAACCCTCTGAGGTTGTTCGTTTCAGAGTCACACTCGAGGTGTTCGGGTCCAAATGGACCCAAAGGGTGGGATTCATTTTTTAAAAAGTTTGTCATGTTTTTTTATTTTTTATTTACTCGTTTTTTTTATAATATTTTTCCTTTTCTTTTTGGGTGTTTTGAGAGAATTTCAAAAATAATTTTTTTTTTATAATTAGTATTAATGCAATAATAATTTTTTTTAAAGCTGTATTTCATTTTAGAGTCAAGCCTAGGCCTCATAAAAGCAATTTTTGAAATGAGATGGATGCCATTTGGTGGACAAACTAAGCATTTTAAAAATGCAAAACACATGTATAATCAGAATTTTTTGGTGTGTGTGTGTGTGTATAAAAGTGTGTTTGTGTGGATGTGTCTGTTTTGCACTCTTTTTTATATATATATATATATTTTTTTATTATTGGAGGATGATGCATGTTACATTTGACAAGCATTGAAATATTTCTCCAGTTTCATTTTTTATCTTAAGAAACCAAAACCTTATAACCAAAAAAAAAAAAAAATAATAATAATAATAATAATAATAAAAAAATACCCCTCCCCCTCCCAACATGGTCATCCCACCCGCCCCCCGTCCCCCCCCCCCCCCCCACCCAAAAAAAAAGTTAACAACATTTTGTACACATTTTTATAACACTTGAACATAGGAGTTTTTTGCTTTTTATTGTCTATGGGCCAATAAAACGAGACAATGGGATATATAGTCAAGAAGAGCGTGCAAAAAAAGTAATAGAAAAGTCACTGAATGTTCCCATATTTTAAGACAAATTATGGCCTTTCACAATTTTCAGCAACAAATGGGGTCTTTAGACTTGTTGTTCTCTAAATACCATTAAACATTCTCTGAATTCGTGATTAAAGTGTGTCTAATTTGACCCAGGGATCACAGCTGGGGATTTTTTTAAATGTTTTTTTTGGGCCAGCTGGCGGGTCAATCTAATCATTTCCAGTTAATGATCTGCCGCTGTTGTAATGAATGTAATTAGGAGCCATGCAGGAAGAAATACTAAGGTCAATGTTTAAGAAAGTACATTTGAAGTTCCTGCAGTGTCGTTCATTCTCCGTTAAACAAATGGCTATATGATAATCAAAGTGTAATTATGACGAACATCCCGAGAGTTTTTACAAGCTCCTTTTACAAAAATCTTTTCCTCATGATGGACTACCTCTGATTTTGCTGCATATTTTGTTATTTGTATCTCAGAGACCAATATTTAATCTGAAAAAATTTGAACTTTTTTTGTATTTGACAAGGCAGTTGAAATCACAGGCTTAAGGATTTGCATGCAATTGCACTCTGTGGGAAGCTTTGGTAAATGTATCGTTTAAATGATGTATTCATAAGGATCAACACTGGGATTAAAGTTTTATACAACTCTTTTCATTTAGAGATAGAAAAGTACTAGCAAGTGGAGAGTTGGTAGAAATGATTTAGAGAAGCTGCTGAAGCTGAACCAATCGTATACAACACATTTATTTGTTAATCATTTCATATAGTTTTACTAATAGAAAGAGGTTTGTATACTGACCTGTTTTGGTGGAAAATTAGGAAGTAAAATGTACACCGAGACGAGTTTGAATCATTAGACTGAATATCTCATCCTTTGTATACTTGAGGTACCAGATAGAGTTTCTTAAAGCGGTATTGACATGGATTGTTTTTTATTATTATTATTTTAATATGTTCCTTAGATTTATGGCTTTGATTTTATAGTAATTTTAGAGTAAAAAATGAAGAGTTCATATACAAAAGCCTTCAAGTGCCATTTGAAATTTTCTTCTAGAATGATCATTTTTATCAAGCTTGCATATTTAAGTTCAGTGATTTCACTTAAATGGCAATGATAATTACCTATTAATTATTATTTGAGTGAAATTACTGAACTTAAATATACAAGTTTGATAAAAATCATCATTAAAGAAGAACATTTCAAATGGCATTTAGAGGCTTTTGCATCTAAACTGTTCAAATATTTTGTAAAATATAAATTTATATAAAATAAAAAATATAAAGTACAGTATATTTGATTTACTGTAAATTTAAACCTCCATAACTTTTTCATACTTTCATTTTTCGAAGTGTTTTCACTTCAGCAATAATCTGCTGAGTGTTTGCTTTAAAACAAGACCAAACTTGGGTATATATTCAAACACTCTTGAATTACAACCATTTAGTGCATTTAAACCCCCATTCTCAAAAAGGGGGGGTGACAGCGAAGGGTTTAAGGGTTCACTTATGATGTTAATAAAGTTTTTTTGCATAATAAAAACACAAATATATATGCAGAAAATGATTATTTTCTACCTTCATTCTCACCCTGAAAATGATCTGTTTTAAGTCGCGGCTCCTTTAAGGCTGTCAGTAAACGCTCACTATTAATATTGGCTAACATCATTGCATAGGAAACAGTATCAACACCCACTCGATATTGAAAACGTTATCCATATAAAACCATCATTTACAGACAAAGCATTATTAAGCATGTGGAGTATGTCAGAAACTGTTTTCTGCATTAGTGTAGACAGCGTCAGTCATTATAATGGATTTTATTTGTATTTGTCAGTGTAGGCATGACTGAATGCCAGGGGGCGGAGCCTATAGTGGATTCATGCTGTAAAACTATTGGTTGATGTCTTGCTCTGGGGGCGGGCATATGCAAATATATTTGCCTGTGTGATTAAATAAATGAAAAATTTCATGAGGAGAATGCTTTAAGCTATGCAGGATGTTTTAATAGTGCGAAGGCAAATTTGATTTATTCTGTCATTTATTTTTCTGATGTATATTTTACTACTTCACTCAAGTAACTCCTCTTGAAATTAAAGTACATTGTATTGATTCTCGTTGATTATGATCAGTGGATAGTTTCACATGAAATTGTCTTTAGCTAAATGTGTTCTTTGTAACATTTGTTCATTTTAAAGGTCATTGCACAGCACACATAGTTTTTAATTAACATTTATTTGTAATGTTATTTGTAATAAAATATGAAAATGAAGTTGAATATTACAAAAAATGTGTCCATGTCTACCCCAAGAGCACCATTCGGGCTAGTTCTGAAGAGTTAGAGTGAATATGTTCATCTTTAGATGCAATTAACCGCTGCTCATCTTTAATTTGACTGAAGTGCTCAAACAAATGGCATCATTTAATTGATCTGGCACAGCAGGTAAATCAATTATTCTATATCAAAATTAGCAGAATTAAAGCTTTGTCGGTCCAAACTCAAATGAAGGGTTCCCATTACATCAAATAATGTTTTAAAATAAGCTGAGTTATGCATTTATCATGCAAAAATGATATTATGAACTGAGTTAGTCTCAGCTTTAGATGTCACTCGCACTGACCGTTGTCATTCTGAAGATCTGGCTAAGATAATAAATGATTAAATATGTGTGTGGGCAAAGTCATCTGGTGCAACTGAAAGAAATGCAAGATAACACTGCTTTTAATCTAATTAATTACATTAATTACGAATTAATCACACATCAATTTTGGCTTAGAAATGACTCCCAAATGATTTAAAGCCATGGAACGGTGTATTTTTTTTTATTCTAATAATGCTATGTTGTGAAAACATGAATGTGAATGATGCTCTGTACAGTTAACAGGTCAGTGCTGCATCATCACGAAAGTTTCAGCCTTTCCAATGTAAATATTGCTATATCATATGATATAAACATGAGACAAAAACCCATCTGGGGCATTTTAGCCCCCATATCTTGAATTTTTGTGACATTTTTTTTTAGCTGTTTTCTAATAGACTTGTACGGAGGAGGCGTATTGCATTCACTTGAAGAAAAAAAAATCTACTCTGTTTTTCTGAATTAACGAGTTAATTTTTCATGAGAAAAAAAAATTGCTCTGTTTTTCTGAATTAATGAGTTAATTTTTCATGAGAAAATTTTTTTTTGCTCTGTTTTTCTGAATTAACGAGTTAATTTTTTATGAGAAAAAAATGTTTTGCTCTGTTTTTCTGAATTAATGAGTTAATTTTTCATGAGAAAAAAATGTTTTGCTCTGTTTTTCTGAATTACTGAGTTAATTTTTCATGAGAAAAAAGTTTTTGCTCTGTTTTTCTGAATTAATGAGTTAATTTTTCATGACAAAAAAATTTGCTCTGTTTTTCTGAATTAATGAGTTAGTTTTTCTTGAGAGAAAAAGTTTTTGCTCTGTTTTTCTGAATTAATGAGTTAATTTTTCATGAGAATTTATTTTTGCTGTTTTTCTGAATTAACTCATTAATTCAGAAAAACAGAGCAAAAAAAAAATTCCATTAAAAATTAACTCATTAATTCAGAAAAACAGAGCAAAAAAAATGTTCTCATGAAAAATTAACTCGTTAATTCAGAAAAACAGAGCAATTTTTTTTTTCTCATTAAAAATTAACTCATTAATTTAGAAAAACAGAGCAATTTTTTTTTCTCATGAAAAATTAACTCGTTAATTCAGAAAAACAGAGTAGATTTTTTTTTCTTCAAGTGAATGCAATACGCCTCCGTAGTAATACGCCTCCGTAGTAATACGCCTCCGTAGGGTTAATTCAGAAAAACAGAGCAAAAAAAAAAATCCATGAAAAATTAACTCGTTAATTCAGAAAAACAGAGCAAAATATTTTTTTCTCATGAAAAATTAACTCATTAATTCAGAAAAACGGAGCAAAAACTTTTTTCTCATGAAAAATTAACTCGTTAATTCAGAAAAACAGAGGAAAATATTTTTTTCTCATGAAAAATTAACTCATTAATTCAGAAAAACGGAGCAAAAACTTTTTTTCTCATGAAAAATTAACTCGTTAATTCAGAAAAACAGAGTAGATTTTTTTTCTTCAAGTGAATGCAATACACCTCAGTAGGATTCTGTTGAACATATGACATTGTATACATGGAGATCAGGTCTGTGTTTTGGGGGTCACACCAATCAGTGCAGACGGACACATGGGCCCCGGGGCCCTTTAGCCCATCTGTTTCATCTGATTACAGTCTTCAAACACCTGTGAAGGACTGTGGGTCTTTTTATCTCTTTGTTGGACACTTTGCTTCTCAAAGCGGTCAAATAAAGGTCGAGACCAGCCCGAGAATGAGGAGAGTACACAACAAGAGTCAATTCAATTCCTAAGGTAGAATAGTAAGAGAGTAATGAAGGTGGTTAGTATCAGAGGCCATGAATTTGCTCATCTCAGCTCAAGATCTTCTTAGATTCAAAGAGAGGAAAATAGGATAATCAGAAAAAGATTATAGGCTGGTGCTCGTGTTCGTAAAGGCAAACTGAATTATTAATAAATAAAATAATATTAAGAGTAAATTTTCAGTTTAGTGTTGAATATAAGCATAAAAGAGAGTGAAATGCCACTAACACTACATATTAATGATAATAAAAATACATTTTATTTCTAATGCACTTTATATTTAAGACGAACCTCAAAGTACTACAGGTATGATCATAAAAACACCATTGTAAAATATAAAAAGTGCAAGGTTAAAATTCATAAGAAACTTTTATTGGCATTTTCCCCCTGATTTGATCATATTTTTATAATACTATTAGAAAAATAATGTGTTTACACCTATTGGCTAATTGATCATGGAAAGTAAATGAAATTAACAAACGTTTGACTAAATTGTTGAAAATCATTGTGGGAAACACTGGTTAGTTAACAGGAGATAACAATGAACAATACTTGCAGTATTTAATAATCTTAGTTCATGTGAATTTCAACATTTACTAATCCATTTTTAGGATCCAAATTTGTATCTGTTAAAATATTAAATAAAACAAGTTGAAAAATGCAAATTCACGTAAGTTAATGCATTAACGGATAAGACCTTAATAAGGGATCCAATGAATAAACTGTATTTAGATTTTTGGTAACCGTTAGTTAAATGTCATTTTGTGCATAATATGTATATATATTTATAATTTAATATTTCTAATATAATATTTGTGTATTAATTTGAGCTTTTTTCCCTTTGAAGAAGGGCAGGCTGTGGTACAGTTGTCAACTTTCTCTGTTAAAATGCCATACGATTCGATAATTTACCCTTTTCTGTGATTGCCGCATGTTAAGTGCATACTTGTGTGCATTAGCAAATGTACCTTTTTCTAAACCACTGATTTTTTTTTTTTCAGGTGTGCAAAGACAAGTTGTACACTGTGTGGAGAGAACATCTGGGATCGTTGAGGAGCATTACTGTGATCAGTCTGCTAGGCCTGATGACAAGCAAACTACCTGTAATAAGGGCTCATGTCCAGCCATGTGAGTTTTACTGCTGAACAGCCCTATGCTTTACTCACCCATCAGCAGCAGTACGCTTGGTGGCTTTTAAAGGGATACTTCAGCTCTGGAAAGATGAATGTGTATTTAAATGGGTCATTTATGTAGAATAAATGTGAAAATTACTTTTGACTTTGGAGCTTTGTAGACTGAGAAAAGCCAGAACATGTATTTTTGTCTTATGTGGATGAAAGACAACAACTCCCAGAATGCACTTGCTTCGCTGCCCTACGAGGCCACGCCCACTGGTAACAGAGCGCAGTAGTTAAACAACAACTCTAGGCTACTAGTGAGTCTCTGTGATGAGTCTGGCCAAAAATGTGTTTTGAGATCGCCCAAAATGTCCGGGATTCGGCTTTTGCGTCCTACAGTCGCCGTTCATTAATGTTTACTGTGGCGAGCGGGACGAGTGAGGACGGCGCGAGTCATGTTTACTGTGTTGAATTATTCCGATTGGCAGATTCACCAATCAGAATGAATTCAGTTAGATTGAAACAAAAGTGAATGGCGACTGCAGAAAGCAAAAGCTGAATCCCGGATATCGACGGCCGGACATGTCCAGGAAAAGGAGGATGCCAACCACTACTACTCAGCTTTTTCCACAGAACAAGAGCTTAGCTTCCAAAAAAAGATGGCCGACACTATGTGTTCATTCTGTGAGTGAGATCGCCCTCTATGGGTGGGTTGAGAACGTGCGGGACAGACCCGAATACTGACTGTAGTCTTTAGCCTCTGGACAAACAATCCTCCGATGACTAGGGGTGTAACAATATATCGTGCCACAATATATCGCAATACAAAAATGCAACAATACGTATCGTGAATAGTTCCCAAAATAAAACTTACTGTGTGAGGAAAAAATTCTCAGTACTAAATTAAACTACTATATATAATTAGGGTTGGGTATCGTTTGAATTTGAACGATTCCGATTCCAATTCCGATTCCTTGTTTCGATTCCGGTTCCTAACGATTCTCGATTCCGATTCTTTTAAGAGGCAGGGTCAAAAAAGTTTAGCTAACCAACGGTTTTTCTGAAGAAAATACTCCTTCTGTCACAAATTTAGCATTTTGCCGAGATTTCGTTATTTTTAGAAAGGTGAAGCCACACTTTGGACCGCCGACGTAAGCTACTCATGTTCGACTCGCGCGGTTATGCCAACGCTTCTTCGCTGGTGTTGTTCAACAATTTCTTCTTCCGGTCGGCGGACTATGAATATCGAAACTAGGAATCGAAATTTTAACTTTTGAACAATTCCGTGAAAAACGAAAAGTTAGTCCCGGTTCCAATCGATACTCGATTCTCGATAACCAACCCTATATATAATGTTGATTATAATGTATAATAATGCAATGGAGGTATATTTGTGGGTCCTTATAATGCTAATAACTTGACCAGTAAAAAGTGTCCAACATTATTTAAAAATACATCTAAATATATCTAGTCAGAAAAAGTGCAAGAATATTCGTCTAAAATAATTCTATATTTTCAGCTTCAGAATCATGAATATTGTTATTCTGGTGGCACCGTTGTCCTTGGGTTACAAGCCTATTCACCCACAATGTAATATCAAATCAACAGTAGGCTACATTTTTTGTTAACCTATTATCATATGTTTTGGAGTAATATCACATCGTGAGTTCAGTATCGTGATATGTATCGAATTGTGACTTGAGGGTATCGTTACACCCCTACCTATGACGCAAAATGACGATTTTTGCGTCATCGGAGGATTTGTTCGAGACAAAAAATACATAAATCTCTCGTCTCAGGCGGATATGAGGGTGGAAAGCACGGTAATTTGAAAATACGACAGGTTTTCTACTAATACAAAGCTTCATGCTAAATCCTGAAGTATCCCTTTAAAGGGATACTCCACTTTTTTTGGAAATAGGCTCATTTTACAACTCCCCCAGAGTTAAACAGTCGAGTTTTACCGTTTTCGAATCCATTCAGACGATTTTCTGATATTTAGAAGAATATCAGTGAACAGACAGTTTCTGGTCTCATTGACTTCTATAGTATATTTTTTTCCTACTATGGAAGTCAATGAGACCAGAAACTGTCTGGTTATTGATATTCTTCTAAATAGCAAAAAATCGTCTGAATGGATTCGAAAACGGTAAAACTCAACAGTTTAACTCTGGGGGAGTTGTAAAATGAGCCTATTTCCAAAAAAAATGGAGTATCCCTTTAAGTGCAGTAAGATTACAGTAATTCCTGTGATGTTTCTTTGTCATCAGATGGTGGGTTGGAGAGTGGCAGAAGTGCTCATCTAGCTGTGGGGACATGGGGCTTAGGAAGAGAACAGTGCTGTGTATTCGGAGCCTAGGGCTGGATGAGCAACAAGCGCTTCAGCCCACTGAATGTCAACACTCGCCTAAGCCTGAGTCAATCGTCCCGTGTAACACACGCGTGTCCTGTCCTGCTGACTGGACTTCAGGAAGCTGGTCTGAGGTGAGCCGGCTTTTACGTACGAAGTTCTGTCGTGAAACTCTAGATGGCGCAGGTCCTTAACTCAACCTGCTTGCAATCACATCATTCTCTCTAGGGCACAGCTGATTGGTCCTGCTGTTTCAGTGGCCAATGAGCTCGCTGCTCATCCTTCAAATATCGGTCAGCATTTGCTGTAGCAGTTTCAGAAACCCTCCACCTTCCCCAGCTCCACCTGTATAGATCTGCTATGGGTAATTCATGTACACTGTATTGTACAGCAGCAGCATGTCTTACTTGCTCACAGCAGCGTGTCGTGTGTGTATTGGCAATTAGGTAGGAGCGACTCTCGGCAATAACAGCAAAAGCGTTTCATACCTATTCCGCCAAGACCAAACATTTTAACATTGTCATATCCTTTACACTCTGAGAGTTGTCATGATTGAAATCAGATTTTGACATTCTTGAAGAGTACAGAATGATCTGTGAAGAAAGGTTTTACTGAGATTGTAGCATTATAGGAGCGCTATATACATATATATAAATATATATTAGGGCTATGCAAAAATTAATTGCGATTAATCGCATCCAAAATAAAAGTCTGTGTTTACATAATATATTTGCGTGTGCTGTATATAATTATTTTGTATATATAAATACCTATGCATGCATGTATATATTTAAGAATTATTTGCGCTTAAATTCTGTATATATATATAATTACATAATCTATATTATATAAATATAAATATTTTATATATGAATAACACATTTTCTTAAATATATACTTGCATGTGTGTGTATTTATATATACAAAATAATTATATACAGCACACACAAATATATTATGTAAACACAGACTTTTATTTTGGATGTGATTAATTGCAATTAATTTTTGCACAGCCCTAATATATATATATATATATATATATATATTAGTTCTGGGCATTGATTATGTATGTATTTAAGAAATATTTGCATGTATATAGCCTACTGAACATATATTAATGCATAATTGATATTATATATAAATATTTTATAAATAACACATTTTTCTTAAATATATACATGAATATGTGTGTTTTTATACAAAATAATTATATATATATATATATATATATATATATATATATACAGTATATTTTGGCTGTCAAACGATTAATCGTGATTAATCGCATCCGAAATAAAAGTTTGTGTTACATATATAAATCTATGTACAGTATATACATGAAAATATTTCTAAAATATATACAAGCATGTGTGTGTATTTGTATATATAAAATAATTATACACAGTGCACCCACATATATTATGTAAACACAAACTTTTATTTTGGATGCGATTAATCGTGATTAATCGTTTGACAGCCCTAATATATATACATATATATATGTGTGTGTATTTATACAAAATAATTATACACACACACACATATATATATATATATATATATATATATATATATAGTATATACAGTATATTAGGGCTGTCAAACGATTAATCACGATTAATCGCATCCAAAATAAAAGTTTGTGTTACATATATAAATCTATATACAGTATATACATGAAAATATTTCTTCAATATATACAAGCATGTGTGTGTATTTATATATATAAAATAATTATACACAGTGCACCCACATATATTGTGTAAACACAATCTGTGCATTAAAAAAATATTTATTTTTTCTGATTATTATTAAATAAAAAATAAAGGTTTGAACCAAACTATGGATTTGAGTAGATTTGACTGTAACTAGTATCATTTTCATGCTATCAGAACTATCTCAATACCACAATATTTGAGCTGAGGTGAACATATAATCTTCACAATAATGCTGTCAATACTACAAACACTATACATGCTTCATGACTACTCCCTACTTTCCCATAAGACGAGCTTCAGATTGTGTTTCATGGGATAAAACTGCACAAAGGCGACGCTTTTAAACTCTTTTGACTCATTGATATACAGAACGGTCTCACTTGCTGTTTTTAAATCGATATTCTGACTTGACAGCTCTTACCGTCTGCTTCTTCCTCAGTGCTCAGTGAGCTGTGCAGCTGGTGTCCGCACACGTGACGTGACCTGCAGCTGGAATACCGGTGAAGACTGTGATCCGAAAGCCAAGCCTAATTCAACCATGCCATGCTACGCTAAGGACTGCCCCATAAACTCGGACATCTTTGGCAACGACTGGTCAGGAAGTGGAGCGTCCAGCAAAGAGTTTTTCAATGAGATAAAAGCTATACCTCATGACGGTCTTACTCTAAATCAGCCCAGGGGCAATGTTGACCTCAATGACATTATAGAAGATGATTTCTCACATTACAGTCATATTGAAAAGTCCTCGGAAAATTCGATTGTGAAAAATCTTCAAGTTGATGATTTTTACTATGACTATAACTTTATAAAATTCCACGAGGACCTGTCTTATGACCTTAATAAAGACGAAAAGGATATGTTTGATAACTCAGGAATAAAACATGGAGGGACAGATGTCCCCGTAACTACCTCTTCTGCAAACCAATACAGTCCCACCACTATTCGCTTTGACAGCATTACAGCTACTGAAGGTCGTGGACCTCAAAAGAAAGACGTACTGGAGGAAAATAATGATGAGCTATTTGCTGAGGACTATTTTCTGCCTGTTATTACAACAACTGAACCCTCCTCTGTAGCGACCAGGTTATTTAACAAATTGAAGGCATCAGACTTTGATATTGGCTTGAGTCCGGACATCAGCATTACAAGGAAACCTCCATCCACTGCAGATGTGTCCCCTCAGGACAAGCTCACATTATCATATGGAACTGTGCCAAACATCGTTTTAACTCAAGAAACACATGTAAGCTTGAACGGAAAGTCAAATAACAACGACGAATACAAAGGCAGTCAAAAAGATGAAGATGTTTCTGTGGGTGAAAGTGACTGGGAAAGCTTTCAACCTCAGCATAGCACTCAAAATTATGAACCGAAAAGGCTGTTTCGGTTTGAGAACAGACACGTTTATAATCCCACTACTCGATTACAATGGATTACGACCTCGCCGCCAGTCTCGCTGAGTGCAACTTCTCAACCAATGGATCTTCTACGCAGTGCTCCCAGTGAAGATTTCACTGTCCAAACAACTAAAACGAAGGCTAGTGAACCATGGTCCGCTGTAACGACCTCAGATAGCCTTTCTCAAGAGTCTTCTCCGTCTCTAACTTCCTCTATCCCAGCCGAACATTACAGTAGCATGACCTCAGCAGCTGGAACAACAGCTCTACCTCCTACAGAAACGGAAAGTGACTTTGAGCCCCCACTCTTCACTCCGACTGAGATTCCTGACACTACAATCGCAGCTGAACCTCACAGTTCAATCGGGCCTAGAATAGAGCCTTGGGGAACTCCGATCCCCTTACCTCGCTTGACAGAGACTGGCAACAATGAGATTATTATTTCCCGAACCCTTAGACCTACTGGGCTGAACTCGACTCTCTCTACTCCTACTGAGCAGCCATCTCAGGACATTAGCATTGAGCATTCAGTGCATTCTTCTAGCCCTATGATGCCCACTGGGCTGGTCATGTCTTCCCTTTCCCCCTCGGTCTCCCCTGCACACTGGAAAAAAGGCAACTGGAGTGCTGTGAGTAGCTAATTATGCATTCCTCACATTCTCTAGATATGAAACCAGCATGGGCTGAGAAACAGCAGGCGGCCACCATGATTAGAGTCCTTGAGTTATGCTGACGCCACAGTTTTGGGTTTCAAAACAAACAGAGCTTTGTCTTTCAGGTTATTTTAGCAACAAAAATCAATACAAGGGTCAAGTGGTACAGCTGTCCATCCTTAAAGTCAGACATTAGCCATGTTTCCATTCACCCATTTTATGTGAATTTTAGGATATTGCGTAAAAAAAACAAAACACTGGATGGAAATGCCAAGATGTGCATAAATTAAAAAATGTGTATTAAAAAAAAACTTTTTTTTTATCCGATAAGAACTTTTGGTACTTGCCTGTAATCTGGACCCCACCATATAACATTTAGGAACTATAGTGATCCCTGATTGGTCTTAACCCCAGTGACGGGTAGGTTTAGGGGCGGGGTTAGGGGTAGGCCATCGTGGGGTCCGGATCCCACCATATACCATTTAGGAACTAAAGTCATCCCTGATTGGTCTTAACCCCAGTGACGGGTAGGTTTAGGGGCGGGGTCATTCCTGATTGGTCTCAACCCCAGTGAGGGGTAGGTTTAGGGGCGGGGTTAGGGGTAGGCCATCATCCCTGATTGGTCTTAACCCCAGTGACGGGTAAGTTTAGGGGCGGGGTTAGGGGTAGGCCATCGTCCCTGATTGGTCTTAACCCCAGTGATGGGTAGGTTTAGGGGCGGGGTTAGGGGTAGGCCATCATCCCTGATTGGTCTTAACCCCAGTGACGGGTAGGTTTAGAGGCGGGGTTAGGGGTAGGCCATCGTCCCTGATTGGTCTTTACCCCAGTGATGGGTAGGTTTAGGGGCGGGGTTAGGGGTAGGCCATCATCCCTGATTGGTCTTAACCCCAGTGACGGGTAGGTTTAGAGGCGGGGTTAGGGGTAGGCCATCGTCCCTGATTGGTCTTAACCCCAGTGACGGGTAGGTTTAGGGCGGGGTTAGGGGTAGGCCATCATCCCTGATTGGTCTTAACCCCAGTGACGGATAGGTTTAGGGGCGGGGTTAGGGGTAGGCCATCGTCCCTGATTGGTCTTAAACCAGAGACGGGTAGGTTTAGGGGCGGGGTTAGGGGTAGGCCATCATCCCTGATTGGTCTTAACCCCAGTGACGGGTAGGTTTAGAGGCGGGGTTAGGGGTAGGCCATCGTCCCTGATTGGTCTTAACCCCAGTGACGGGTAGGTTTAGGGGCGGGGTTAGGGGTAGGCCATCATCCCTGATTGGTCTTAACCCCAGTGACGGATAGGTTTAGGGGCGGGGTTAGGGGTAGGCCATCGTCCCTGATTGGTCTTAAACCCAGAGACGGGTAGGTTTAGGGGCGGGGTTAGGGGTAGGCCATCATCCCTGATTGGTCTCAACCCCAGTGACAGGTAGGTTTAGGGGCGGAGTTAGGGGTAGGCCATCGTGGGTTCCGGATCCCACAATATACCATTTAGGAACTAAAGTCATCCCTGATTGGTCTTAACCCCAGTGACAGGTAGGTTTAGGGGCGGGGTTAGGGGTATGCCATCATCCCTGATTGGTCTCAACCCCAGTGACGGGTAGGTTTAGGGGCGGGGTTAGGGGTAGGCCATCATCCCTGATTGGTCTTAACCCCAGTGACGGGTAGGTTTAGGGGCGGGGTTAGGGGTAGGTCATCATCCCTGATTGGTCTTAACCCCAGTGACGGGTAGGTTTAGGGGCGGGGTTAGGGGTAGGCCATCGTGGGTTCCGGATCCCACCATATACCATTTAGGAACTAAAGTCATCCCTGATTGGTCTTAACCCCAGTGACGGGTAGGTTTAGGGGCGGGGTTAGGGGTAGGCCATCATTCCTGATTGGTCTCAACCCCAGTGACGGGTAGGTTTAGGGGTGGGTTAGGGGTATGCCATCATCCCTGATTGGTCTTAACCCCAGTGATGGGTAGGTTTAGGGGCGGGGTTAGGGGTATGCCATCATCCCTGATTGGTCTTAACCCCAGTGATGGGTAGGTTTAGGGGCGGGGTTAGGGGTAGGCCATCATCCCTGATTGGTCTTAACCCCAGTGATGGGTAGGTTTAGGGGCGGGGTTAGGGTAGGCCATCATCCCTGATTGGTCTTAACCCCAGTGACGGGTAGGTTTAGAGGCGGGGTTAGGGGTAGGCCATCGTCCCTGATTGGTCTTTACCCCAGTGATGGGTAAGTTTAGGGGCGGGGTTAGGGGTAGGCCATCGTCCCTGATTGGTCTTAACCCCAGTGATGGGTAGGTTTAGGGGCGGGGTTAGGGGTAGGCCATCATCCCTGATTGGTCTTAACCCCAGTGACGGGTAGGTTTAGAGGCGGGGTTAGGGGTAGGCCATCGTCCCTGATTGGTCTTTACCCCAGTGATGGGTAGGTTTAGGGGCGGGGTTAGGGGTAGGCCATCATCCCTGATTGGTCTTAACCCCAGTGACGGGTAGGTTTAGAGGCGGGGTTAGGGGTAGGCCATCATCCCTGATTGGTCTTAACCCCAGTGACGGGTAGGTTTAGAGGCGGGGTTAGGGGTAGGCCATCGTCCCTGATTGGTCTTACCCCAGTGATGGGTAGGTTTAGGGGCGGGGTTAGGGGTAGGCCATCATCCCTGATTGGTCTTAACCCCAGTGACGGGTAGGTTTAGAGGCGGGGTTAGGGGTAGGCCATCGTCCCTGATTGGTCTTAACCCCAGTGATGGGTAGGTTTAGGGGCGGGGTTAGGGGTAGGCCATCATCCCTGATTGGTCTTAACCCCAGTGACGGGTAGGTTTAGAGGCGGGGTTAGGGGTAGGCCATCGTCCCTGATTGGTCTTTACCCCAGTGATGGGTAGGTTAGGGGCGGGGTTAGGGGTAGGCCATCATCCCTGATTGGTCTTAACCCCAGTGACGGGTAGGTTTAGAGGCGGGGTTAGGGGTAGGCCATCGTCCCTGATTGGTCTTAACCCCAGTGACGGGTAGGTTTAGGGGCGGGGTTAGGGGTAGGCCATCATCCCTGATTGGTCTTAACCCCAGTGACGGATAGGTTTAGGGGCGGGGTTAGGGGTAGGCCATCGTCCCTGATTGGTCTTAAACCCAGAGACGGGTAGGTTTAGGGGCGGGGTTAGGGGTAGGCCATCATCCCTGATTGGTCTTAACCCCAGTGACGGGTAGGTTTAGAGGCGGGGTTAGGGGTAGGCCATCGTCCCTGATTGGTCTTAACCCCAGTGACGGGTAGGTTTAGGGGCGGGGTTAGGGGTAGGCCATCATCCCTGATTGGTCTTAACCCCAGTGACGGATAGGTTTAGGGGCGGGGTTAGGGGTAGGCCATCGTCCCTGATTGGTCTTAAACCCAGAGACGGGTAGGTTTAGGGGCGGGGTTAGGGGTAGGCCATCATCCCTGATTGGTCTCAACCCCAGTGACAGGTAGGTTTAGGGGCGGAGTTAGGGGTAGGCCATCGTGGGTTCCGGATCCCACAATATACCATTTAGGAACTAAAGTCATCCCTGATTGGTCTTAACCCCAGTGACAGGTAGGTTTAGGGGCGGGGTTAGGGGTATGCCATCATCCCTGATTGGTCTCAACCCCAGTGACGGGTAGGTTTAGGGGCGGGGTTAGGGGTAGGCCATCATCCCTGATTGGTCTTAACCCCAGTGACGGGTAGGTTTAGGGGCGGGGTTAGGGGTAGGTCATCATCCCTGATTGGTCTTAACCCCAGTGACGGGTAGGTTTAGGGGCGGGGTTAGGGGTAGGCCATCGTGGGTTCCGGATCCCACCATATACCATTTAGGAACTAAAGTCATCCCTGATTGGTCTTAACCCCAGTGACGGGTAGGTTTAGGGGCGGGGTTAGGGGTAGGCCATCATTCCTGATTGGTCTCAACCCCAGTGACGGGTAGGTTTAGGGGTGGGGTTAGGGGTATGCCATCATCCCTGATTGGTCTTAACCCCAGTGATGGGTAGGTTTAGGGGCGGGGTTAGGGGTATGCCATCATCCCTGATTGGTCTTAACCCCAGTGATGGGTAGGTTTAGGGGCGGGGTTAGGGGTTGGCCATCGTGGGGTCCAGATAACAGGAAAGTCCCGAACTTTTTTACATGACTGCATTCTCAAACAAGGAAGCAAGATAACATGATCGCATTTATTGCGCTTCATCTGGATGTTCTGAGGCACTGGTAATTGATTGTATTTTCTTAGTAATAATTGGCAGCAGCAGTTAATCAGAAAGTTACGATTTTGTTCTCTTCAAGTCACTGGATGGAAACTGTGCTATTTTTTGCAAATGTTTTATGTGATCGTCCAAGTTAAATTCAAAACTTTGAATGTGAACATAGCTAGTGTGTATGTGTACACCAGGTTTCATAACCTGAAAATCAAAGGGATGATATATTAATAATAATGTTGTTGAAGCCCGTAACCTCTAATGTTTAAAGGTAATTTGATAAGGTAGTTAATAAAGATGTTGATCCAGGAATGGGTCTTGGATAAATTAATTTTGCATGCCTGTTTCAGTGTCAACCGATACTTCAATACTACAAATGATTTTGTATGGTAGTGCTCCACAAGTTGTGGGCTTGGTGCCATCTGGAGATCAGTGTCCTGCAGCACTGGTGAAGAATCAGACTGTGATTTAGCTACTAGGCCCGTGCCAGCGCGCCGCTGCTACCTTCGACCCTGCTCTGCATGGAAAATTGGACAGTGGACTAAAGTAAGTCCACATGCATGCAGCCAAACCTAAAATTAATGAATTTCCAGCGACTGACAAAACAATGGACGTTTCTATTTTGGCAGTGCTCGAAAAACTGTGGTGTAGGAGTGAAGGTTCGGGAGATTCATTGTTACGACACACGGGATCAAAGGTTGCTGAGGCCGTTTCATTGTCAGGCCACCTCCCCTAGACCTCCTGTCCGGATTCCCTGTAACATCCACAACTGTTTAGATTGGTACACCTCCTCTTGGGGGCAGGTAAAGGAGCTGGTCTCCCCTCATTAGATCTTTGGTTCTGTTTCCTTACCTTCACTCGACTCTCTTCATCTCCATCTATGACTACAGTGTTCAGAGCTGTGTGGAGTTGGGGAGCAACAGAGGCTGGTCACTTGCCCTGAAACTGGGAAATGTGATGACGACGGGAAGCCCAGCTACATCCAGACTTGCAACATCCATCCATGCAACCAGTGGATTACTGGATCCTGGGGTCAGGTGAGTGTCATACGTAGTTCACTTTTGAAAAAACGTTTGCTGATAATTTCCTCACCCCCATGTCATCCAAGATGTCCATGTCTGTCTTTCTTCAGTCGAAAAGAAATTAAGGTTTTTGATGAAAACATTCCAGGATTTTCTCCATATAATGGACTTCAATGGGAACCAAACAGTTCAAGGTCCAAAAGACAGTTTCAGTGCAAACTGCAAACTGTTCAAAGGGCTTTAAGCGATTCCAGACGATGAATAAGGGTCATACCTAGCGAAACGATCGCTCATTTAATAAATAAAAAACAAAGTTTAAGTTTTATAAGCACAAATACTCGCCTTGCTCTGTTCTGTGATGCGCGTTCGTGACTCTTCTGTTCAAACTCGAAGAATCTTTTTCCGAGTCATTTGGTTCATTCAACGAACAAAACGAACGAATTGACTCAGAAAAAGATTTGTTCATTTTGATGAACGAGTTCAAACAGGAGTCACACAGAACAGCATTTGACTTAATTTCTTTTCGACTGAAGAAAGAAAGACTTGGACATCTTGGATGACATGGGGGTGAAAAGTTTTTTCAAAAGTTAACTACTCCTTTAAGGAAGCATTTGATTTTTACAAGTAACCAGGTTTAACAGTGTGTTTCTACACTAGATAACAATTGATGCATCTGAAGATGTGAAACAAATAGCCCAGATAATCGGAATTAGATGGACACCATTTGCTGCTATCTGTTCAGAATCTCAGATTTTACTTATTGAACAACATTAAAACCCCAAAACATCTGTTTGGATATATAAGTGCAGATCAGTGAGCGAACAACACAGCATAAAACTAGAAGACTGCAAAGAAGAAGAAAGTGGAGCCCGACCGATAAAGGATTTTGAAGGCCGATACCGATACAAAAAATTGTTGGTTTTAAAATCCGATATTCCGATATATCGGCCGATATTTTATTTTATTTTATTTTTTTTTCAGAAATGCGCAACAAAACATTAACAGATTTCCCTAACATTAGTTATTTGTAGTTATGTATACGTTTTAACTAAAATAATAAGAAAATGCATTTTAAAAAGAAACTTTTTTCTTTTATTGTCGCAACAGAATATTGCCCTCTGGTGGACAAACTATACAACTCCAACACTCATGACATGTTTCAAGCTTGTTTCGCCCATTTTTATTTTAATGTTGAAATATTCATTTATCGGCCATTATAACTGCCGATACCGATAGTTTGGAAAATGCCTAAAATCGGCCGATAATATCGGCCTGCCGATATATCGGTATGGCTCTAAACCTTGTTGCACCTCGTGACTGGTTTGAATGTAAAAGTGAAGATTGGTGAACAAGAATACTAGACTTAAAATACTTCTGTAAACCCCCAACCACCCAGAACTTTGGCCAGTGTATTTATTATGTATTAGAAAGAATAAAAAAAGATGTACAAGCAAACATTTCTTTGAAAGTTACAGATTAATGTCGTTTTTTTCTGTTGTGGCAATTTCTGAAAATGGCAATATCCCAAATAGTGGACGAAAATTACAGAATGATTCATGGGTAATTTTCTCTCATTCGGTTTTTCATTCAGGTAAAGATATGTAATGGACTATTCACAGTGTGTGCAGAATGTCAAACTTAAACGTAGGAAGCAACAGAATTGGACAATCAGTGAAGTCAAGTGCGGGTATCTGAGAGTTACAGTAATGGGCATAAACAAAGGTAGGGATGTGCCGAAAGGTTGTGAAAGCTGCCTGTGGTAGGGGTTGAATGACAACAACACTATGTTGCTGTCTGGGAGTGTTCTTATGAGAAAATATTGAGCTTTGTGCATCACCTTTTTTAATTCTACGGGTCAGAGAGACGGTCATAAAACACTGTTTTCATGCACTAAAATAATCCATTTATAATTGGATTGGTGGCTCAATCAGACTTCATGTAAACACTTCAATCAATGCAAATTCAACTCAATCTGAATGATATTTAAATTGGATTGAAAGGTGTGGTGAATAAAAAAACACATGCACATTACATGTGTTTTACGCTATACAAACGCGCATATGTTTATTCGCATCTCATGTCTTACAAACTCATCATGAGATTGCTAAAAGCTCTTATAATGTCTTAGATGTGTCATAAGGCAAAAAGGACGATTATGCTCATGGTATCTATAGCAATATATGTGAATCGGGCCGGAACGTTTAGGGTTCATGTAAACAGAACTTTCAGAAACTTTGGATTGGATTCATTCTGATTGATGAACATTACACATGTAAACACGTGTACTGAAAATAGAAAAAAAAACTGAATGAAAATGATAGGATATGACCCGTTTGAAGACATTCATGTGTTGTCAAAACTTTGCATCTGATGGAAGATTGTTAAAGGCTGGATGGAAACCTTACTGGGTGTTTAACAGGCTTGTCTATTGTGTGTTGGCAGTGCTCTGTGACCTGCGGAGGAGGCATTCAGCAGCGATTGGTCAAATGTGTCAACACTAAGGCCGAGCTTGAGGACGAAAATGAGCATGTGGATTGTGATCATGAACCTCGACCAAAGAACACAAAGAAGTGTAACGTTCATGACTGTGACAGCGCCCCCTCTGGTGAGTAGAGCTTTGTGTGCTAGCTAGAGACAATGTAGAAATTCATAAAGTGCCCCTATTAATGGAGTAATTCACTTTTTAAAAAACTTTTGCTGATAATTTCCTCACCCCCATTGTCATCCAAGATGTCCATCTTTCTTTCTTCAGTCGAAAAGAAATTAAGGTTTTTGATTAAAACATTCCAGGATTTTCTCCATATAATGGACTTCAATGGGAACCAAACGGTTCAAGGTCCAAAAAACAGTTTCACTGACCCAATAAGGGTCTTATCAAGCAAAACAATCGCTCATTTAAAAAAAAAAGATAAGAAAAAGATTTATAAGCTCAAATGTTCGTCTTGTTCTGTGATGTGCGTTCGTAACTCTCCTGTTCGAACTCGTTCATCAAAACAAATTTTTCCGAGCCAATTCGTTTATTTCGTTCATTGAATGAACGAAATGACTCGAAAAAAAGATTTGTTCATTTTGATGAACGAGTCAATTCGTTCATTTCGTTCGTTGAATGAACAAAATGACTCAAAAAAAGATTTGTTCGTTTTGATGAACAAGTCAATTCGTTAATTTCATTCGTTGAATGAACGAAATAACTCGAAAAAAGATTCGTTCATTTTGATGAATGAGTCAATTCGTTCATTTCGTTTGTTGAATGAACGAAATGACTCGAAAAAATGATTTTTTCATTTTGATGAACGAGTTCGGACAGGAGAGTAAACGAACGCGCGTCACAGAACAGAGCAAGGCGAGCATTTGAGCTTATAAAACTTAAACTTTGTTGTTGTTTTTTTAAATGAGCGATCGTTTCGCTTGATAAGACCCTTATTCATCGTCTGGAATCGCTTAAAGCCCTTTCAACAGTTTGCACTGAAACTGTCTTTTGGACCTTGAACTGTTTGGTTCCCATTGAAGTCCATTATATGGAGAAAAATCCTGGAATGTTTTCATCAAAAACCTTAATTTCTTTTCGACTGAAGAAAGAAAGACATGGACATCTTGGATGACATGGGGGTGAGTAAATTAAGTTTTTTTTAAACGTGAAGTTTAAAAGTTTTTTTTAAACGTGAACTACTCCTTTAAGCTTTTAACCTGTGTAATACAGATGTTTTAGAACATAAAAGGTCTGCAAAGTTTCAAAGATCAAAGCCCACAATAAATGGAGTTATTGTCTCCAAAGACGTGATTCTGAACTGCCTGTTGGGTTGTAACAAATCTGCATAATGCCAGCTTGTGGTCTTTATTGGCTGCCTGCGCGCAACACACTTTGTCCTGCCCTCATACACTGTAGTTGTAGCTGAGACTGGACGAGATCGGATCATGTTGTCGACATGATGATGATGTTTGCACTTCCAAAAGACTTGTGCTAAAATTAATACAAACAGAAACATTTTGTTGTATTGCTTGGACAAACCTTTACACTCAGTATGCTCTGGTAAGTATGGTGTGTGTTATTGTGAACTGCAGTTACCTGGTAGCATGCATACTAATGACATTTGTAGGTTTAAAGAAATTGCCTTGCATTTATCAGCAATCATAGAGAGAGAGAGAACAGTTTTATCCCCCGAGTTTGCTATTCAACGATCCGTTAAATGCTGCACCTCTAGATTGGTTTGGCTTGATCATTACCGGTTGCTGAAGACTCAGACAGAATGCCTGTGCCATTTACAAACCCCTGAATCCTCCTTCGTTGCTGCTCTTTTAACATGGAAAAGCTGTGTCCACTGTCCAAAACACCAGACAATGATTATTCTCTGATATATAAAGAGAACGACACTGGTCTATTACATGAACAAGAGTTATAGTCTCAGAAAATAAGACAAAAGACATCATTCTATGATCTTTGCATAGAATTGAGATGAAATGGCATTCATTCACAGCCTGTTGTTGAGGCTTTAGCCGATTTTACTGGAATAATATATTATTCAAATATTGTACTTGATTTGAGGTTAACAGATAGCAGTTATCACCAAATTGGAAATTAATACGCATAAAAATGCTCACTTCGTTAACCTTTACATATCCCTGTGAGGAATTCCAGTCACTTCGCTCTTCTTCAAGTAATACAGCTCACCTGTCTCCTAGCCTTTAATTAGTATCGTCATTACTTTGAGATGTCCTGCCAGGCCTGTTATGTGCTAGCGCTGAGAAAATTGCTATGGCTCAGTGTGCTAATTAAAATCTAATTCGTGATGAGCTGTTTGGTGGTATATGTGTTTAAATCCTTACCTTTTTAAATAAATTATCCAGGAAATCCACCCACGTTTGATTGGTTTTGGGAAAAGCAATGTTTGCTCGTTATTATTTCACCCGATTGCAGGTCACTAGTACTTCATGATTATTTTTAACATGATTATGCCACCATGTTGTGCGCAAGCGTTTTCAAGATGAAACACCTCAGTAATCATTAAGACTTGATGTATTATTTATTTTAATCCATACAGACTTTTCAGGCCTCAAGATGTTGTTCTGTTGCAGACCTTGAATTTTACCTTTCATAGTGCGGAGAATTTCATAATTTGTTTCTTGGCAATAACCTTTTTTAATGTGATTTTAGTCTTCAGGTACAAAATGTATTACTTAGGGGAATACTAGGGCCTGATTTCCACCTAGTATTAAAATGCTTTTTAAATGCATCTCCTGTGGCCACTTTTGCTCAGATATCCTCAAGAGCTTCCTCTCTTATTTCGTCACACTTTACAATACTTCCTTGGACATGCAGAATGTTACGTGGATTACAAACAATCGAGAAAGGAAATGAATGAAAAGGATAAAGATGGATGGATAGACGGTTGGTTGCTTGCTTGGTTGGTTGGTTGGTTGGACTGTTGGATGGATGGATGGATAGACTGTTGGATGGATGAATGGATTGATGGTTGGTTGATTAGTTGGACTGTTGGTTGGATGGATGGACTGTTGGATGGATGAATGGATGGATGGATGAATGGATAGGTGGTTAGTTGGTTGGTTGATTGGTTGGACTGTTGGTTGGTTGGCTGGATGGATGGATAGACGGTTGGTTGGTTGGTTGGTTGGTCGGATGGTTGGTTGGTTGGATGGATGGTTGGTTGATAGGTTGGACTGTTGGTTGGTTGGATAGATGGAGTGTTGGATGATGGATGGATGGATGGTTTGTTGGTTGGTTGGATGGACTGTCGGATGGATAGACTGTTGGATGGATGGATGGATGGATGGACTGTTGGATGGATGATAGACTGTTAGATGGATGGATGGATGGATGGATGGACTGTTGGATGGATGAATGTATTGATGGTTGGTTGATTGGTTGGATGGATGGACTGTTGGATGGATGAATGGATGGATGGATAAATGGATAGATGGTTAGTTGGTTGGTTGGTTGGTTGGTTGGTTGGTTGGTTGGTTGGTTGGTTGATTGGTTGGATGGATGGATGGACTGTTGGATGCATGGATGGTTGGTTGGTTGATTGCAGATGGTTGACTGTTGGATGGATGGATGGTTGGTTGATTGGACTGTTGGTTGGATGGATGGATGGTTGGTTGATTGGTTGGATGGAAGGACTGTTGGATGGATGATGGATGGGTGGATGGATGGACTGTTGGATGGATGGATAGACGGACTGTTGGATGGATGGGTGGATGGATGGATGAATAGATGGATGGACTGTTAGATGGATGGATCAACTGATGGATGGATGGATGGTTGGTTCTCCCATACAGGAAAGACTGTTCCATTGGTCAATGGTCACCCTATCACCCACAATCTCTTCATGGTCTGAGGCATACGACACACAAAAAGTGGCAAAAAGTGGCTTAAATTTGCTATGTGAGACTACCTTAATTTCCATTTGTACCCATGTAAAGCAACATGAAGTAAGATTTTTTTTTACCTTAAAATAATGTTTCTAAAATGGTTTGAGTGGTTCATTAAGTCGTAACAGGGTGAAAGACACCCTTATGCCTTCCTATATCTGCTATAACCACGCCATGTAAGATTGCCAGATCGGGTCGCGTTTCTGTAGTTCTAATGAGACAGAAGAAAACTACAAATCTGACTTGCTTTACGTCAAGCTTTACAATAGTCAATATTTAGTTTTTCTTCGTTTCTGATGTCGCAATACATCACACTTTCATGAAATCAAAAAAACATGCTCTACCTTGTCTTTGGACATCATTCATTCCAAAGCCGGCGCTGGATAAACAGCGAGTGTGTGTGCGGCAGTCGGCTGCGGTAGGATCAGTTATTTACCACAGCGGTAATGGGCAATTCCACTTCCAACCTGTAGGAAAAGTTACTTGGTGTTGCTTTAAAGATTTAGTTGGTTGATACTTTAAACTAGATCTAGACTCCCAGCCATGGAATACTTAACTTCAGCCATCTCCTTTCTTTGTTTCAGTTTGTTTGTTGGTGTTGGATTGTAAATTAATCCGCTTCTTGACCAGCTACCCAAAACCTGGTCCTGTTGGCACATATTATCATAGTGTCAGCTGGAGGATCAAACAGCCGTTGGTATTTCTGAGGGTTTTTCTGTCCTGGGTTCCTTCTGTGGATTTCCCCACTCTAGATTTGTAAATGATGGCTCCCCAAAGGGCTATTAATAGGACTGTTTTTCTCCTGTGCCTCAGATAATAACCTCTTTTGGCAATGCACGCTGCAGATGAGATCACCTCACTGACAGTGTTTTGGATGTTAAGAGAGGTCTTGCATAAGTGTTTGGATTGAATTCTTTTGACGCTGTCCAAATAGATCACAAGTGGATTTTCATGGCATTTTAACAGAAGTCAGCTGTTACTTTCTCACACCGTTTAGGGAAGGCTGTTGTTATATAACAAGTTAACCCTGTGGTACTGTACATCTTTAAACCATTGTGTTAACAAACCATATTCAGTGCAGTCTGTTAACTGAATGAATGTAAGAGCATTGCTTAGAGGTCTAAAAATTTAGTTTTTTTTTTTTTTTGGAAATGTTTCCCCAGATCTCCAGCTAACAAAATGACGTGCTAAGAATATTTTGCGTTCCCATTAAGTCATAAAATCTTTTTTGAATGTTCTCTGAAAGGTCAAAATACTTTTGAAACGTTTTTTTCTTGGTTCTGCGAACATTAAGGTACGAACATCCATAATTTTACAATTTTGCAGGAACTCTGGAAACGTTTCAAAACATTCAAATGTAACAAGTATAACTTTTAAAAGTGCAACTAAACGTTTCAGGTAAAAAAAAGTTCCAGGAACGATGTTTAAACATTTTTTTTTTTTTTGCTTTGAGAACATTATTAAAGACCAGTTTGGACAAAGTTCTGGCATGTTATGAACAAAAATTCAGTAATGGTAACATTATTTTTTGATTTATTTTTTAAGTTCCCTGTTAGCTGGGAGTCTTTAGGAAAAGTAATTGTTGACATACAGATTTGCTCCTGGAAGAATTTGAAGATTAAGTTTGAGTTCAAATTCTGTGATAGTCTCTATTGGCTTTTTGAGAATTGCAATTCTTATTTGCAATGTTTTCAAGGGTTTTTTTGTCCATAACAACAACAACAACAACAACAAATTATGATAAATACATTAGGTATTAGGTACATGAGTTAACTTGGGTAACATTAACTGAGGTAAAAGTAAGGTCAGTGGCAGATGTGATTTTGTTGGATATTATTGATGGAAGATTATAAAAATACATATTTTCATGACTATATTAATTATATGAGAAACTTGCATTTAAGAAGTATATTGACCAAATTCTGGTTTCATGTTAAAGGTTGGGGGAAATCCCTGATTGGAAAACTGATTTACAGTAGTTTCTATGAGAATGGCCCACTATCTGCTCATTTGGTTTGAGGACTGAATGAGTGACCAAAAATAAACACAAACTACATTTCCTGTATCACTCCGAGTCCTCGGCATTGTTTAAAGCAGCTCCTACAGGATGTCGGGGAGGTGGGGTGAGTTCAGACCGGATTAATGAGCCCTCTCCCAGCCCAAGGCCACTGTGTGTCACGGGACTCGGTTTGCTTCTCTGTGTGGAATAAATCATGTAAATACAGGAAGTGTGTGTGTGTGTGTGCAAGTCTTTTATTATCTCACACACACTGTGCTTTTAAATGATTGAGTTGTAATTAGAGGTTAATATTCATTCATGATTATGAGTATTTAACAATCCTGAGTATATCCCAAAAATTAATCATTGAAAGCTATGATTAAAATATTTAATAGTTGAACATTTTGGATAATTTGATTGAATGGTACAGTTAATCTACCCACCCATGCAACCATCTATCCATCCAACTATATAACCAACCATCTATCCATCCATCCTTGCATCCATCAAATCCATCCAACCATCCATCCATTCCATCCGTCCATCCATCCAACCATCCATCCGTCTGTCTGTCTGTCCGTCCATCCAACCAACCAACCATCCGTCCACCCGTTCGCCCATCCATCCTATCGTCCGTCCGTCCATCCATCATCCATCCATCCATCCAACCGTCCATCTGCCATTCATCCAATCATCCTTCCATCCAACTGTCCGTCCGTCCATCCAACCATCTGTCCGTCCATCCAACCATCCATCCGTCCAACCGTCCGTCCGTCCATCCAACCATCTGTCCGTCCATCCAACCATCCATCCGTCCGTCCATCCATCCGTCCGTCCATCCGTCCGTCCATCCGTCCAACCATCCATCCGGTCCAACCAACCGCCTGTCCAACCATCCAACCAACCGTCCATCCATACCACCATCCATCCAACTGCCCATCCAACCAACCATCCAACCAAACAACCGTCCGTCCATCCATCCATCCAACCAACCGTCCATCCATCCAACCGTCTGTCCTTCTATCTATCCAACCATCCATCCATCCAACCAACCGTCCATCCATCCAACCAACTGTCCATCCACCTATCCATCCAACTGTCTGTACTTTTATCCATCCATCCATCCATCCATCCAACCAACCAACCAATCAAACATCCATTCATCCATCCAACCGTCCGTCCGTCCAACTAACCGTCCGTCCGTCCGTCCATCCATCGTGTGCATAGACATAGGCTTTCAGTGTGTGTTTTGTGAGAAGTCTGTTTATAAATGAGGCTCTTGGACACTTTGAGATTTTTTCGTACACCGGTCACAGAACGTCACTTCTCCCAGGGCAGTGTGGGAAGGCGAGGGTTCAGTGTGTGACCCCACTGATTTCAACACACTGATCTAGCAGCGCGAGGAAATGCTGTCGTGCTGAGATGTCAATGACTCCTTCTGTTGGTGGAATCACCCAGTGGAAATGCACAGAAAATCCATTTAGTATGCCAACTCTTCTGTAACTTTGCCTTGTAAACCCTTCTTTGTTTTTGGTCTCTCTTCTAAGCGTCTTTGTTCATATCATTATCAAACAAGGCTGCATACGAAGCATTTGAAGTATGCTTATAATCAGCCTTTTACAGGCACATGATGTCTTCTAACTGGTATTTAGAAAGAAAATATTTCTTGTCTTGAGGAATGTGCTGAAAAACATGCCCAACAAAGGTAAAAAAAATGTCCCTCAGAGATTTTTTTATGGGAATATATTGCAATGTTGTGATGTGATGTCTCAGTGGCATCTTGTTTGGTTTCATACTATCAGAAGATGTTATACCGCTTGCGTCTGGTGATGTTTGAAGTAGATTCATCTTCTTCTTTACACTTACCTGGCACTGGGAGTCCTTTGACAAACTTGTCTATGCTTAGTGGAGAACCTTGCATCATGCACAATATACTGTGTACAATGCTCATCTATGTGGTAGATTTATTTGACCATCCCCCACCTTTGTATTACATAGACATTTTAAAACAAATTTCTTAGGTATAATACTAGTACAATTTCATTTGAAAATGCATCTTGTTGTCTCAGTTTTGGTCTTCTGTTACGAGACAGCACTTTTAGCAACGCAAACTAAGCTTTCTGAAACCGATCTCCAATGTGGATACCTTTAAAACGCAGTTTTCGAGAAAACAGAGGTATTTAAAACCGATGACGCAAGTTTAGTCATGTGACGCATATTGAACCAATAGATATTCATGTTTATAGCAGTATTGTGCCTGTTATGTGCTATTCGCTTTCACACAGTTGCAAAAATGTTTCTTAGCACACTTATATCATAGTCCTACAAAGATGAAAGAAAATTCACTCACATTTGCTGTCCTGCGGCGAAACATGATGTCAGTCTTTAGAAAATAAAATAATAAATTGTGTTTCAAAGGGCCCAGAAACAAACATGCTGCTCAAAAGAATGTAGATAATGCACATTTAAAATACTATTTGTTGTTGTACCACTGCAGAAGTTTACCCAACCAATACGACGCCGGCTTCCGAGAAGCCTAGCAATGTATAAAAAGGGTCCATTTCTGAAATGATCCTTAATTTTGTTTTGCTGTGCAGGCCATTGTACTTTTATGTACTGAAATACTTGATTTGTTGCAGGTATTCCCAGCATTAGAGATGAGCGTCGCTACTCTCGAGGTGTTGGTGTTGCTGTTGCTGTAATGTGTTGCCTGGCTTGAGGACAAACACCCTGATGTGTGAACGCACTAGTGCATGCATGCGGTGCAGTGGCGAAGCTGTCGCTCATGTTCGTTCTCTTTGTCTTTCAGGTCAGTTGTGTTTACGGGACCATTTGACACTCCGCTTCTGTCAGACCCTCCGATGGCTTGGCCGATGTCAGGTGCCTTCGGTCCGGGGAAAGTGTTGCAGGACCTGCGGGCTCCCATCACGGGGCGGAGAACGCACTGCAAGCCGCTGACATACAAAGAGATTGACTGTTGTAACACAAGATTATGACACAAATACTCAAAGCAGCTACCAGACAGCCAGATAGTGTCGGCCCAGATCCGGTACGCCTGGGTATGGACCAATCCATTGTTGGACATACTTTCATCTGGTCTGGTCATCCCAGACAGCAACATTATCTCTGCCCAGATCCATGTGGAATACCGGATGTGGGCCGGATCTGAGCCGACACTATGTTGCTGACTGGGTGTGGACCAATCCATTGTTGGACATACTTTCGTCTGGTCTGGTCATCCCAGACAGCAACATTATCTCTGCCCAGATCCATGTGGAATACCGGATGTGGGCCGGATCTGAGCTGGCACTATGTTGGGGTCTGGACCAATCCATTGTTGGACAGAATTTCGTCTGGTCTGGTCATCCCAGACAGCAACATTATCTCCGCCCAGATCAGTGTGGAATACCGGATGTGGGCCGGATCTGAGCCGACACTATGTTAGGGTCTGGGTATGGACCAATCCATTGTTGGACATACGTTCGCCTGGTCTGGTCATCCCAGACAGCAACATTATCTCTGCCCAGATCCATGTGGAATCCATGTGTACCGGATGTGGGCCGGATCTGAGCCGACACTATGTTGGGGTCTGGGTATGGACCAATCCATTGTTGGACAGAATTTCGTCTGGTCTGGTCATCCCAGACAGCAACATTGTCTCTGCGTGTTGAATCCACATGTACCGGATGTGTGCCGGATCTGGGCCGACACTTTGTTGCTGTCTGGGATTGACCAACAGTTTATCAGGGAGCCACTTTGTCCCTACACCCTTTACCAGAACAAGTGGTGCTTATTTCAATCCATCATCTCAGATAAGTGGTAGCAAAGCAGGCCGTCTCAATATAGTGACTACAGTAATGAAGCTTCCTTGCTGAGGACATTTTTTTATTTTCTTTACTAGTTGGCAATTGATGGACCATATATATTCATAATGTTGGACATTTTAATCATATCTTTTAACCCTGCCAAGACTGCAGTTCAGTTCCCAGACAGCAATATAGTCAGTCCTTCCAGAAAAACGGGAGTTGTTTTGTGATTGTTGCGGGCAAAAATCCTTGCGGGATTAAAATATGCGGGATTTTTATGCGATGAAATTGCGGGAACTTGCAAAAATTGCAGTTTGATGAAAAAGAGAAAGTGATTCCCCAACACCCTGTTCTCACTCGGCTACCTTAAAATAAAGAGTCATTTCTTATTACTTCATATGATAGGCAAGCATAACTACATCACAGAAAGTGCTGGAATATTTCAGTTCTCATCTTGTTTTATTTCAGACCTTAAAGGGTACATATCATGCTTTTAAATCGTTCCTTTTTACATATAAATCATACATTTGTGGTCTATATAAAGCGAAACTGCAATGCTTGGGTCTGAATTCCTCATTATTATAGCTCCACAGGCCCCTTTTCTGATGTGCGTCTGTGAGCAACTCGTTTTGGAGCGGCCCCCTTAAATGCAAAGGAGATGCGTCATACCCCGCCCGCTCTCCAGGTCGCGGAGTTCACGGTCGGTTCAACTCCACCCTGTTCGGCCATTTTTGTAGTTTGATTAGAGATATACGATTATATAGTGTCACAGAACATTTTTATTCACATGTTAACATAATGTCAACAAAGGAAGAGTAAAACAAAAATATGACGACGAACCTGCAGAACAACATCTTCATATACTCTAAAAATGCTGGGTTGTTTTAACCCAACTTTGGGTCAAATATGGACAAACCCAAACATTGGGTTAAAAAATGTAATTAAAACATGTAACCCAATGGCTGGGTTTGTCCATATTTGACCCAAAGTTGGGTTAAAACAACACAGTATCGTGTTATAAGTGAAAGTCGATTATTTCTCTTGTTAAAACAAGCACACTAACAAGATAAATGACTACGGTCTAATCTTACCACTAAAAATCTGTATTGGTAATACATTACGTTTAGAAAAGCATCAGAAAACACAGCATGAAGCGTGTGGGTCACTACATCCAACATTTTGACTTGCCCTCTCATAACTTCTGCGTCACTGAGTTCGGACTACAAAAACGAAGTGAGAAAAAAAAAATGGTGGATTGCTCGAAGTCAATGTCTTTATTTGTCAGTTCCGCTGCAAATACTGTGACGTAATTGTTCAAAATACGTCATAGAGAACAGAAAAATCTGAACAGGTTGTAAAATATGACCAAAACAGAATATAAAGATATAAACGAAGCACCTGAAGAGAATAATTTCAACTTTCCTGTACTTATAAACACTCCAAATATACAACAAAATGGATTTAAGGGTTAAAAGTGGATTTAGCATGATATGTCCCCTTTAATAAACACATCAAAACATTAATGAGTCAAACAAGTTCTGTAGCTTTACAAAAGAAATATGCTACTGTAAATTGTTTTAACTTCTGGAAATATTCTATATTCTATAACATATTCTGCACTGAAATCTGCAATTTATGCGGCGAAAGTGAAAATACGACTTTGCCTGATTATGCACTAAATCACGCTTTTCTGGAGAGACTGTAAAGGGATTCCACGCGGCTCAGATGTGGGCCGGATCTGGGCCGACACTATGTTGCTGTCTGGGTTATTTGTAATTTTATTCCTGTTTTGTGTTGTTTATCATTCATTTTTTTCCCACATATACTAGCGAGCAATTGCGTGTAATTGCAAGTTGAGCTTGCCAATGTTTCTATTTATTGCATCTGATTGCAAATCAAATCTAAAACCAGTAAGGAAGAACCTGGTGCTAAAGGTAGCGAGCGTTCAGCTCCTAACTCAGTCTAGTGTTGGCTGGTACTTGAAATCTAAAGACAATATTTATAGTGTTTTAATTTTATGTGTGTATTACTTACTCTTTTAGACGAATAAACATATACACAAAATAATCATTACAAATGCATACATTAGAGCTGCACGATTAATTGTTAAAATATCACTATCTTGATTCAAACACTCGCGTATAGGAATGAAACAGCTTCTACAATGCAGTCTTACAATGATTTAAATCAGGGGTGGGCAAACTACGGCCCGTCGAGTGTTTCAAACATTGTCTTAAAGATTGCATTCGGGGCCACATTGACATTTCAGCAATCCTTCAGACAGCGACTAAAGCGCAACAAGGCCTTGTTGCACGTTAATGTTTTTTCCTTTTTTGGAAACTAACAACTTGTACGCCTGATTAGCTTTCATTTGATTTTTTTCGTTTTTCATTTGATATTTAGTTTCTTTGCTACCTCTTGGACTGCTTCCGGTTACCGACCTTTATCGCCCGGCTTTCGACTACGCTCCCGTCTCTGCCATGTACAGAAACTGGTTTTGTTCAATAAATGTTCTTATCTGCTTTTGATTTTTACGTTTTATTTATCATACTTAAAATAAATTGGTAAATTTGTTTATTTTTATTTTATTTTTTCACAAATGTATGACGTTTGTGTATTAAGTGCATTTTGATTACCATCTGGAGTTTTAATAAAGTTGAATTAATTTTTACTCTACTAAGTGTACACTTGCTGGTGTTTTGTTTCTAATTTACTGTTAGGCTCATTAAATAATACTAAGGATAAACAATATTTAAAAAGAATATAAATATATATATAAAATAAAAATAAAATTAAATTAAAAAATAACCCCAAAATATAACAATGCTAATGGGGAAATCTATGTATAAATTAATATACCATGTAAATTACGTGATCCACGTAAATGTATTTGCTGGTATAATCTGCCACTGGCCAGCCCTCTGTCAAATTTTAAAACCCAGTGTGGCCCTTGAGCCAAAAGTTTTCCCACCCCTGTTCTAGACCCTTCCAGAGCTGAGATATTGAGATATTTATAATGGCATTAATTGTGCGTGGGATCTCAATATCTCAGCTCTGGAAGGGTCTAGAACCTCAATTTTTGCACTCAGGTTTAAGTCTCATGGCCCTCTATCAGAATCCAGAGTTTTGAGAAGATTGGAGAAATTTAATTTTTTGCCCGAAAAAAAACAAAACGTAAGGGGTACCACTGTCGTTTTTTTTTTCGGGTCGAATTTTTGAGTTTCGATATCTCAGCTCTGTAAGGGTCTAGAGCCTCCATTTTTGCACTCAGGTCTAAGTCTCATGGCGCTCTATCAGAATCCAGAGTTTTGAGAAGATTGGAGAAACGTAATTATTCGGCCCAAAAAAAAAAAACGAAAGGGAAACCACTGTCGTTTTTTTCGGGTCGAAATTTTGAGTTTCTCTAATCTTCTTGAAACTCTGGATTCTGATAGAGGGCCATGGGACTTAGACCTGAGTGCAAAAATGGAGGCTCTAGACCAGGGATGGGCAACTTTGATGATAGTGAGGGCCACAAATATTTTATCATCACTATCCGAGGGCCAAATGTGACGTGCACTTCCACCAATGGGATATTGGAGAATTAGAGGTGCCATTTTAGAAGAAAACATATGTAGGTATGTCTTTATTACAGACTCTGCTAAGTAAATCAACCTGCATATCCATATTCAATTTTTCCTCAGCTTCTTTTAATGAATGAACTTTTAACATAAACAAAGACACATTGTTGTGGCATTACTGTGTTTTTAATATTATTCCAGTGCAAACATGTTGGATCTCAAAAAACATACAATGATTGCACAAAACTGAAAAGTAGCCTATTAAGTAAAAAAAAAAAAGGGATATTGGAAAATAAAAAAACTACCATTTTAGTAGAAAAAACATATGTATGTCTTTATTACAGACTCTGAAATGTGTAGTAAACCAACCTGCATTTCCATACTTAATTATTTTTTCTGCTTCTATTCATTAATGAACTTTTTTAACAAACTTTTTAAAATTATTTTTTTATTATTCAGTGTAAACATTGTGGGCTCTCAAAAACATTTACTGATGGCACAAAATTAAAGAAAGTATTAAGTGAAGCATACTTTTCCACCATAGGCTGCCGCTTTATCTCACCTACAGAGGGAAGTTTACAGTTAATGAGATACTTGTGGTTTCTCTT